TTACTAACTAAAACCAAACTCATTTACTATTTACACTTGAACTTACATCAGCCTGATAAAAACCTACTTAAAATGACAGAAATCATCTTTGGAAAAAAATTATTTGAAGTGTAATTGATTGTTTAATTTGTCTCACAAATCATTAGATCCAAGAAGTCCTCGCTACAGCCTGTATGACGTTATTGATAAAATCGTAGTTGACGTTTTAACACGAATGCTCTGTAGTAGGTTTCGATTACGTCATGAAAGTTTAAACACGCAGGGGTGCGATTACCTGCTATTAGGCTATATATTATCCATAAATTATATTATTTTATAAAATCGGTATGACATAGGCCTATGCCAATGGCTATAGAGGATGACTTTAAGCATTAAAGCTTTTACATTATGGCCCATAACATGTTTTTCTCCCTACTGGCAGTCAAAGATTTGCAATAGCCATACTGGATATGCATTTTGTAGCTATTTTATCTATAGCTAATGACACTGCCCAAATTTGTGCTATCATCATCCATTATAGTAGGCTGTTATTGTAATCCATAAGTTTACACGAAGCACTGTAACATGAAAGATATGCAGAAGTTGCAATAGCCTAACTATTAGGATTAGGACTGTTATATCCATCACTCTGACGAAGTTAGTTGAGTTTAAAAACTTCTCTCTTTTGTCTGTTTTTATCCTTCACGTAATTTCCCAGTGACGTAATCCCATTCCATTTTGTGTAGGCTATATCGTTTATATAAATCTAATAGCTTAGATAAACATTAGCCTATCATCAACAAAAATGACAATTAAAATGAAAGAAAAGACGACGGCACACGACTAATAACGCCTCAGTCAAGTCAAATAAATGTTTATTCATTATAATTGCTTTACATAATTGTCTAAAACACTCAAAACAACATTGGAGATCATAAGTTTAACTAGTGTATAGGCTATACAATCAATTTCAAAATATTTAGAAGGAAAAAGTCTACCTAGATATAGAGATTAAGCGCTCTATTGACAATATAGCGCTAATTTCCATGCAAAGTAGGCTAATTAATATATATTATCGTTTGTTATCAACTTATAATAATTATTGTCGCCAACAGTTTGTTGGACATTGGGATGTTTTAACAGATCGGATACCAGACACAAGATCGTTTTTCTTCTTTTTCTTCTTGTCATCTTCATTTATGAAATCTCTTATGGTATAAAAAAATGTCCCACATATTTTAGTAAAACTCTTATAATCTGTCATGTTAGGCTATAGCACAGCGAGTGAGAGAGAGAAATAATATATTTGATTAATTTATGAACGAATAAATGCTACATTACAGAAATATGAAACACATAACACAGAAGACTATATAAGACAGACTATGAATGGAATAAATAAAGACAATAGTTATAGATATTTTCAGTCTATTTGTATTCATAAAGGACCAAATTAAACGAATTAAACAAATAATAATAATAAGGTTGTAGGCTATTCAAAACACCCTTGTTGCTTAAATAAAATGTAAATACTCTATAGCTAGTATAGCTAGTAGTGTCTAATGAAACAACCATTTGTATCTATTTATTCTATCTTTAACTCGGCATTACAATTTAAATTACATTAAATACGAGATTAATACATACATGTTAAAAACATCCTTTTCCGCGCATGCGCGTCGAACATCAACTCACTCAACTACGTATTTGATTAATCAAGTATGTCGCTACAGGCTACAGCGAGTCTCATTAGATTACATGGAGAGGGCGGGGTTCATGACCTATACCAGAGACTATTTATATAGAGACATGCCACTTCCCCAATCCTTAATACAACTATATAGGGAAAACCCGTAACGCCAAAGATGGCGGTTGTATGCACATGCCCCGCCCCTCCCGCTGGAAAGCCAATCGTCTGCTTTTAACAGTCAAGCCGGAAAATATTTAAGCCTATCGTCTCGTTCCACCGACGCATGCGCACAGTTGAGGTTTGCGACAGCGCAAAATATGTTACTGTTTGAAAAGGCGGCAGATTTGATGTGTTAGTTGTGTAAATATCAGACATCCCAAGTCTCCCGGAAGTTCCGGGAGTCTCCCGCAGATTGATAGAGGTCTCTCTGATGACCGCAAATTAGTTCAAATCTCCCAGAATCTAGAGCGAGCGAGCAGTAGCGCGCGCACGACAGAGAGCGAGAGAACCCTTGCGCATGCGCAGTAAAAGTATAGGCCTAACCTGTGGGGAAAAAGGCGTTTTAAACCTTATTTTGGGGCAAAGTCATCACACTTTTTCAGCGATTTTTATCATATTTTATTAGTGTTTGTATACATGCAGTTTTTATGTCCCGGTGACCAGTGAAAGTGCAGTTTTGGGTCTCTGCCCATTCATTTAGATAGGAGCCTGGTCTTGTTAGTCCGAAATAGCTGCCCGGAGGCGTTGCCAAGATGGCGGCCGAGTGGCATGACTTGCCTAAAAGGACTTTGCCTATACTGCACCCAGCCACCTGGGGGCGATCGAAACGTTTTGGCTTCACTTTTCAGGACTTCTGTGGCACACACATGGTTCAGACTGTCACTCCCATAGACAGTAAAAGAAATGGGCACAGAGACCCCATAGACTTCCACAGAGAAAAGTGAAGTCAATTAGAAGCACTCACTTCCTGATGGCTGAGCGCACTGCGCAGGCTCAAACTGAGCTTGACGACGTAGATGTGACGTGAGCAACCTGTCTGACAGTTGTAAGTGTTCTAGTAGCTGTGCCAAGAGGAATCTGAATCATTCCCTTCCGAATCTTGCAGAGCAGGAGAGCGTGAGTAGGAGCTGTCCAAGAGCTAGGAGCAGGAGCAAGAGCAACTTTATGACTCTCTATGGGCTTCTCCCTTGACTTTATGCCTCCACGTCCCCCCGATTGTCCGCAAGCTTCTCCTCTTGTCTATACGGTAATTTCTCTACTGTGCGACAGAGAGTCGCGTGGTTATGACGCAATCGGTAGCCTATTTTTACAAAAACGGCTTCTACAGGGCCATAACGTAAGATACAAGGTAATGGAGCCTTTTATACATTGTCGTGTTTCTTTAGAAATAAATAATGGACAAATGGAGTCTTTAAACAAGTCAGATGTAAAGTTATTCACTGTCAAAGTGACGTCAAAATGAACGGGAGTCAATGGAATGCTAACAGCAGGTGAAGGCTTGCTAGCCAATGGCGGCCCCCGTGGAAGGTACGCTTTCCGGGTGCTGGATTACCCCCTTGGTCACTCCAAATCCGTTTTTTTTGTGCATATCCGATTGAAAGCCGATCAGATTTAGCAAGTGTGGCCGGCAAAAAAAAAAATCAGATGAAATGTGTCATGATTTACAAATCCGTTTCAACTTTCAAGCTACATCCATTTGTGGTTTAAAGTCCTATTCAAATCGCATTTCTGGAAATCCATTTCAGTCTGATCTATGATCGGATTTCGTGTGGTTTATGTGAATTTCTCACGCCATGTAAAATGTAAACGTCAGACGTTGTTATAGGAAACTATAGACGTTGTTATCAGACGTTGTTATCGCTGCCGAAATAATGCTGTATTGTTGCAAAGTGCCGGACAAGCAGAAAATAACAATATAATGGAGACATATTTTGAAACCGACGGAGACGACAGTGCGTAAAAAAGCCGTGCACACCAGCCTCTGGTTCTGCCGCTGCCTCATAAAACGCAGTAGGCCAGAAATGCGATTTGAATAGGATTTCAAAACATATATGGATGTAGCTCGAAACGGATTTGTGAGAATCGCATTTCATGTGATTTTTTTGCTGTTCACACTAGCTAAATCTGATCGGATTTCAATCGGATATGTACAAAAATCGGATTTGGACTGACAGTCTGAACGTATACCTTAGGTAGGCCTATAATCAATGAGAGTATAGAATTATTTGATATTATACTACAAATTCCTAAAGTTACACAACATAAACCATAAAAAGCATGCTGTTGGTTAAAGCATCATGTAAGTGTTGAAAGGACGAGATAGGCTAAGTGAAGAATTTTACACTTTCATCTTGCTGTTCTTAACTAGTTTTAGCTGGTCTGCAGCCTAACTAGCACACGCGTCTAAAACACCTCTAAAACAGACTACTGAAAAGAAGCATTTTTGCAATGTGTATAAATATTACCAGCAATACTAACTATTTTGATATTTTTATGAATGGATCAGTGGTGCCATCCTAAAATAACCAGCCTGTCCCTATTCGGGAGAATCAAGCATGGTGGGAAACATGTGTTAAACATAATCTAGGCCAGTCGAGTTAACCACAAATGATCAATTCTACGTCACAAAGCTTTAACACACACCGGTTGAACCACTAAGCCTGTGAAGCACATGGTTCCTTAACCAAGCCATGATGACATAGACTGGAACTTTTTCTGTTCATATTGAGAAAATGTCAGACTATCAGCCTAAAGCAAGAAGTTTCATGATCATCCTCATACGTGAACCCTGTCTGGCTTTCATCTGCAATGTAGCAGTTGACAAACCACCGATCCTTCCAAAAAAAAAAAAAAAAAAAAGCCCATCTATTTCACCACGTGTCAGCTGTGGTTTTCCTGAAAACAAGTCTGCGTGGCCATTACATCAGAGTTTCCATGGAAACCCTGAAGTCCAAACACGTCCAAAAGAATAACAGCCAAATGATGATGTCATGGTCGCTTCAAAGTCAATTTAATTAAGCACACATGGTGCCAACTGCCAAGTGAGAGAGAGAGAGAGAGAGAGAGAGAGAGAGAGAGAGAGAGAGAGAGAGAGAGAGAGAGAGAGAGAGAGAGAGAGAGAGAGAGAGAGAGAGAGAGAGAGAGAGAGCAAGAAGCAGACGAGAGAACAATAAAACTGATTTAAAGTTATTTTTGTGATATTCTTGGCATTGTCTCAGAGGCATGAGCAAAGACAGTTTCTGGCAGCCTGAGCTGGGACGAGAGTTATAGTTGAAATGTAATTATATTGCATATCTGAACTAGAGGAGATTGATTTCATGCTCTCACAAACCATTCACATACTTAAACACATCACTGAGATGGACACTGAGCGGCCTGTCTTGTCCACTCTGGTGCGGCAGTGTGAGCGCTCCAGCTGAGGAAATGCTCTTTTGCTGGAGAAGAGAGAGATGGAAAGAGGGTTGAAGGGTGAAAAGAACAGAGGTGTGGAGGAGGGGGACACATTCCCCAAACCCCAGCCGACCTCCTGAGATGACTGGCTCCGGATAATTACAGCCCCCTTTGCTTGGAACGGCCAGGATGGGCTGACTGAGCTGTACTTCACTGCTCTGCGCTGATCTCCATTGCTGCACACACACATAAACAGCCTCTTTTATCAATCGAACCACGCACACACGTACAAATACATACACACATAAGCATGCCTGAGATTACATCCACACCACATCAGAACTCACCGCAACAGAATTACCCCCTGATTCAGTTAAACCCTTCGATCAACACTGTACTTATTCTACTGTAGAAACGTGGTCTAGTGGTCTGCTGGGATATCTTTGCAGTGGAGAAAGTGATCCCAACTCCATCTCATCCATGAAATGAGCCATGTCTTAAGTGGGCTTTGTCTTTAAATGAATAAGTAAACAGAAACTATTGCGACAACAAGTGCAGAGTACTTATAACCGCCACGCAATGACTTAATATCACGTTTGGATGGATTCATTTCCTTAAAGTCTCAAAACCACAATTTCCTTCCAAATCAAAGAGTCGGTTTGTCATTCTGGTGTAAATTAGGCTACACATTGCCTAACATTTAACCCTCATTTGGTGTTCGGGTCAATTTGACCCGGAGAAGATTTTCTTTTTCCCGAAAATACTAGTTAATGTTATCGCTTTGGACTGAAACTTAGTGACTTTGTTCCCAAACGGTATAACTAAATCTCAGTGTTTTTTTGAAAATTTTCTTATTTTTTTGTGGGAGTATTGTTACCTTGTTACACTTGTGGTGTTCCCGGTCAAAAATGACCGGCCTATAAAAAATAGCTTATTAGTCACTCATTATACCATATTTTCACCCAATCTTGGATTCAATCTTTTTGTCAACTTGTTCTCTTTCAATTAGGACTGGTTTTATATTTCTGTTTGAATCTGATTAATCGTGGGCCTCATTTGTCTGAGAGTAGGCATCTCATTTTTTTAGTAAAAAACAAATAATTTATGAGTAAATTTGGAAATATGAAAAAAAAATATGAAAAAAATGGCTACGGTTGATCACACTAGTCTACTCTAATGTTTCACCAGGAATTTTGTTTTGAAACTTTTGTTTTGTAAAAAAATATGGCACATAGTCACACTTGTGGTGTTCCCGGTCAAAAATGACCGGCCTATAAAAAATAGCTTATAAATCATTCATTATACCATATTTTCACCCAATCTTGGATTCAATCTTTTTGTCAACTTGTTCTCTTTCAATTAGGACTGGTTTTATATTTCTGTTTGCATCTGATTAATCGTGGGCCTCATTTATCTGAGAGTAGGCATGGTCAAAAATGGTCACAATGGCCGACCATTGAAAGTGAATGGGAGAGACTGAAAATAACAGAACAATTTCGTTTTCAGGAGCATGTTCATTATTTTCATGTACACATATGAGCATGTGTGCTTGCAAACATTGAGCCCTTGGACCTGTGCATGTATCGATACATTTATACACACGCTACCCAGACACACACACGTTAAAACACACAAACTTTTTTGAGTATTACACACATTCTTTTCCACAGAGAGAAATTTGATCCTACCCTAACCTGCATCTAATATACATTTATCCATCTGACATTACCACACACACACACACACACACACACACACACACACACAAACTGGCCGTGACTGCAGTGACCCGGCTTCAAAAGAATCTTTCTTTCATGGTCTTGTTTCATCACAGCTTCCAGACAAAATATTATGACATTTTGTTTTGGAACTGTGAGGTTCTCACACAGAACTAGACAATATTTACAAATATACATCATGTGATAGCACAGGCATATATAAAATGCCTCACAGCACCTTGTTTGTCATTCATTTGTGGCAGCACAATGGCAAAACAGCTCTGCCCATGATGTTATTCATCAGATTTTTGACTCAGAAACTAGTGAGGAGGAGGACATGCAGGATGCATCTTGCAGTGAAGATGTTTCTGAAGAGGAAGGCCTTCAGAAGAAAACCTGCCTTGCCTCATAGGTGGGGATGAAGGCCAGGACAAAGTTCCATCTTTTGACCAGAATGAAACGGTAACCTCAGCTGGGCCCTCATCACTGGAAGACTGCTCCTCATCAGTTGTTTCAAGCTCCGTAGCCAATTCAGTGGTGCCTTCCTCTTCAGAAACATCTTCACTGCAAGATGCATCCTGAATTTCCTCCTCCTCACTAGTTTCTGAGTCAAAAATCTGATCACGGCCTGTGTGTGTGTGTGTGTGTGGTAATGTCAGATGGATAAATGTATATTAGATGCAGGTTAGGGTAGGATCAAATTTCTCTCTGTGGAACTGAATGTGTGTAATATTTAAAAAAGTTTGTGTGTTTTAACATGTGTGTGTCTGGGTAGCGTGTGTAAAAATGTATCGATACATGCACAGGTCCAAGGGCTCGATGTTTGCAAGCACACATGCTCATATGTGTACATGAAAATAATGAACATGCTCCTGAAAACTAAATTGTTCTGTTATTTTCAGTCTCTCCCATTCACTTTCAATGGTCGGCCATTGTGACCATTTTTGACCATGCCTACTCTCAGATGAATGAGGCCCACGATTAATCAGATGCAAACAGAAATATAAAACCAGTCCTAATTGAAAGAGAACAAGTTGCCAAAAAGATTGAATCCAAGATTGGGTGAAAATATGGTATAATGAGTGACTTATAAGCTATTTTTTATAGGCCGGTCATTTTTGACCGGGAACACCACAAGTGTGACTATGTGCCATATTTTTTACAAAACAAAAGTTTCAAAACAAAATTCCTGGTGAAACATTAGAGTAGACAAGTGTGATCAACAGTAGCCATTTTTTTCATTTTTTTTTTTTTCATATTTCCAAATTTACTCATAAATTATTTGTTTTTTACTCAAAAAATTAGATGCCTACTCTCAGACAAATGAGGCCCACGATTAATCAGATGCAAACAGAAATATAAAACCAGTCCTAATTGAAAGAGAACAAGTTGACAAAAAGATTGAATCAAAGATTGGGTGAAAATATGGTATAATGAGTGACTTATAAGCTATTTTTTATAGGCCGGTCATTTTTGACCGGGAACACCACAAATGTGACTATGTGCCATATTTTTTACAAAACAAAAGTTTCAAAACAAAATTCCTGGTGAAATAATAAGTTGACTAGTGTGATCAACAATACCAATTTTCTTCAGATTTTATTTAATATTTCCAAAATTATTCAAAAATTTAAAAAAAATTACTCAAAAAATTAAATGCCTACTCTCAAATAAATGAGGCCTATGATTATTCAGATGCAAATCAAAATATAAAACCAGTCCTAATTGAAAGAGAACATGTTGACAAAAAGATTGAATCCAAGATTGGGTGAAAATATGGTATAATGAGTGATTTATAAGGTTTTTTTTATGGCCCGGTCATTTTTGACCGGGAACACCACAGGTGTTATAGGGTTTTGAACACCACATGAGGGTTAAACAGAACAATGGGGAATGATAGTGTTCAATGAAAGCTTGCTGGAAAGTGGGTCATTCTCATTAGAAAAAAGCTTAACCCCAAAACTCCAGAACATATAAAAATGAAAAACACTATGGGGTCCAAAAGTTCGAGACCACATTGAAACATGGGATTTATTTAATTTAAACAGGGAAATAAAAAGAAAGACATAGGATGCCAATGTAAAATGAATAAGAAATATTAAAGATTCGGTAGTATTTCTAACAAGTAAATGTGACTCTTTTGTAGAGACAGCAAAATGTCCATTGCTCTTTGGATCATCTCAGGTTTTACACAAGATGTTGAAATGTTTCTTGAGCATAAATCAGCATATTAGAATGATTTCCTGAAGGATCATGTGGCACTGAAGATCGGAGTAATGATGCTGAAAATTCAGCTTCGCCATCACAATTAATTACATTTCAATATAAAACAGATATTTTAAATCGTGATAATATTTCATTTGTTTTGACTGTATTTTTGGTCAAATAAATGCAGCCTTGTTTGAGCATATGGAGACTTTCGAAAACATAAAAAAAATGTGAACAGTAGCGTATATGAGTGTATTAAAAGAGGGTAAATGCACACACAATAAAGTCAAGCTCTTGTCTGCAAAGCGGAAGCCCCTTCCTGAGAAGCAGGAACTATCAGTCTGTAGCCCATGCCAAGAATAATACTTTAGCAATGATAGATTTTCTAGGAAGCAAGTAAGAGTGATGTAATCGAGGCAACACAAGCCAGAACACATTTTCTGTCATATCCATCTATTGTTTCTGCAATCAGCTCTGCTGTACCGAAACTTAGCTAAAATCTCCCAGGCTCCTTTGCCCTACAGCAGCCTCATATTGCATGACATCATCCTCTCTTTAACCGTTGGAAGGTGAGGGCACTTACTCTTTAATGCACACACACACAGACGCAAAAATACACAGCAGTGCACTTGGAAAATCATCATTGGTATTAGTGTCACTGTGCTGAAAGTGATGAGCTGGGATATGTCCACTCCTCTGGAGTGGTTTGGACAGCATAATGATCAGCTTATTTGACCGTGTTCCTGATGAGAGTTTCATGAGCTGTGCTGAGAATGTTCATTTTGGTTTCTCACTTGAGGGAAGAAAAACATATTATTTCTATTAGTGGTTGATGTCAGCATGTACAATAGCGGTTTGAAATAGAAGGGGGGAAAAGAGTTTATCAAAAAATACAATGAAAACACTTGGACGGTGTGTTACTGATGTATATATTTACTCAATATGTCATATGGCTCACACTTAACTGGTTCCATAATGCATTGTATAACTGCATATAAAAGAATACAATAAGACCCCCTTATAATGGTTTGTTAATTTGAAAACTTGTAATTTAATATAAACTTATAAACAACCAAAGCTAAAGTTAAAAAGCTAAAAAATTCAGCTATTTTTTTTATTTTATTTCTTATTTGTTTAGTCGCCAGTTTCCAATACTGCTTATTTCCAAGCAGTGCTGGACAAACAGTCAACCAAACAAAGGCTTGTGTGAGAGAGAGAGAGAACGCAAGCCCCTGTAAAATCTTTCATTTGGTGTGAGCTATTCACCATGACGGTTGAGAGGCCCTTTACAGGCTGAAGCACAGAGGCCTCTCCAGGTGAATTAAACTAGGTGTCTGTGTGTGCTTGAGTATGTGTAACATTCCTAATTGTTTGAGCACAAAGAGACTTTGGAATGAACATTGAGAGCGAGCTTCAACATATTATTAGCATGAAGTCTTTGCTCACAAATCAGCCTTTGACAGAACACAAACACATCACAGCGGGCCTGTGAGCTCAGAGGGAAAGTGTTACTGATTTGTGCAATAACAGGCTTCGACGTGGCATACGTGCATGTGCTCACCTGTGAGGGATCAGAGCCAAATGTATGTAATCACTCGTACACCTGCCATTGCAGTTATAGTATCAGCCTCCAGCAAGAGTCAGCGCTTTGTAGCTCATCACCCTGGTAAAAATACAGTGAAATATTATAAGACACAAGTGATATTCATATTGGTGCTATTGGAGCTGACAACTAATTACATTTTTACTGAAAACGCTGCATATTTAAATATTGTATATTAGCTGTCATTTATATTCTGCTAAAATCGATCTATAGGTTAAGAACTATTGACCACTTGGGAGCCTTTCATGTAAACTGCATATGAATATTTGAAAATATTATTCCTGTGATGGCAAATCAAAATTTTCAGCAGCCATTACTTTAGCCTTCAGTGTCACTAGATCCTTCATAAATCATTCTAATGTGCTGATTTGGTGCTCAAGAAACCTGAATGCCAGGTTAAAGAGATGTGTTTTTAGTCTAGATTTAAACTGACAGTGTGTCTGCTTCCTCGTAGAAAGACTGTTCCAGAGTTTGGGTGCTAAAAAGGAAGTTGCAATTGATTTTGATATTCTAGGTATTATCAATTGACCATAATTTTTAGATTGCAATAGACGTGAAGGTTGTTTTATTATTGTTGCATTGTTGTATGTAATACTTACAGTACCTTATGCCTCTGAAGCAACCTAGTGAATAGAGTAGTATCTGTGGAATTAAGAGCTTTTAGAATGTTATAAAACTATAGAAATTAAACAACTGAATTGACAAAAAAAGGACAGCCATCTTCTTTTTATTTATTTAACACTCCTACCACCCCAACAAAAGAAGTAGGCCTACACATCTATTAGTGGAGTAAAAAGTACAATATTTGTCTTTCAAATGTAGTGCAGTTAAAATAAAAAGTTTCCAGAAAAAAATAATACTCAAGTAAAGTAGGCTACAGATACTCAAAAAGTGTAACAGTACTCAAGTAAATGTACTTTGTTACTGTCCACCTCTTAATGGATGCCATGTTTAATAGAGGGAGATAATGCAGTGCTGACAGAACCAAGCTCATATGGTCATACGTCCTGGTTCTAGTAAACTCTATCTGCTGCATTTTGGACCAGCTGGAGTTTATTAAGCATCCAGGGCAACCACCCAGTAGTAGAGCATTACAATAATCTAGCCTTGAACTTATGAACTAACTTTTCTGCATTTGTCACTGAGGACATATGTTGTGATTTAGATATATTTTTAAGATGAAGACATTTTTTTTAGAAATGTGGCTTTTAAATGAAAGTTTGGTATCAAAGAGCACACCCAGGTTCCTAACTGACGAACAAGACTTGACATAGCAGCTATCGAAACAGTATTCTAGGTTATTACGGTTTATTGGTCCAATAATTAAAGCCTCTTTTTTTTGGAATTAAGTTGTAGGAAATTACTAGTCATCCATTTTTTTTCATATCAACTATACATTTGGTTAATTTTGTGAATTGGTATGTTTTGTCAGGGCGTGAAAAGATTCAGCTTAACAGTGGAAACTAATGCAATGCTTCCTGAAATCTCCCAAGAGTAGCATGTACAGGGTGAAAAGCAACGGTCCTAATGCTGAGCCTTGTGGTACTCCATACTGAACTCCAACTGAATCGATATGACATCTCTTCATTTACTCCTACAAACTGATAATGGATAGATAAGTATGATTTGAACCATGCCAATGCAATTCGACTAATGCCAACATATTTTTCGAGTCTATTTAAAAGAATGTTGTGGTCGATAGTATCAAATGCAGCACTAAGATCCAGTAACACTAATAGATAGATACAATCACGATCGGATGATAAGAGCAAATCCTTTGTAACTCTAATGAGAGCAGTCTCAGTACTATGATAAGGTCTAAATCCTGACTGGAAATCCTTGCAGATACTATTTCTTTCTAAAAAGGAACATAGTTGTGAGTATACTTCCTTTTCTATTCTTGACAGAAAAGGGAGACTCGAGATTGGTCTGTTTTAATAAGAGGTTTAATAACCACCAGCTTATAGGTTTTATAAGTACATATCCTAATGACAAAGATAAATTAATGATATTAAGAAGAGGATCTATGACTTCTGGAAGACTTAGTCGGTATAGGGTCTAACATACATGTTGATTTTGATGATTTAACAAATGTAGACAACTCTTCCTCTCCTTTAGCACAGAATGAAATATCTTTACTGTCACCTATGATTAATTTAATGCATTCTTGCTGAATAAAAGTATTAATTTAAAATAAAACAAAAAATCTTTTTGTTACTTTTAAACAATAGTGTATATACTGTATAGTCGAAAATAATTAATGAGGTCTATTTCATCCTGGATGACTTCACATGACAATATGTAGCAGGCTGCATTAGATTGTGCTTATTCTGTGAGTTTACTCGACTTGATTAACTTGACTTGCATGTATGGTGCTATTAATATAGAACATTCATCACCTTTAATAGCGTGAGGAGAGACCCATGGACAGATAGCAGCAGAAGCAGGATGGGCCTGGAAAAGGTAATCTGCTGGGACACAAATCATTTTCAGTGAGGGGCAAGCAGAATTTAAAGTGACAGTTCACCCAAAAATGTAATTCTAAACCTGTATGACTTTCCTTCTTCTGTGAAACACAAAACAACATATTTTGAAGAATGTCCATTTTTGTTTTGACCCCACTGACTTTCATTATAATGACAAAAACCATGTGTGGTGGTGAACCGGTCTACTGTTTGGAATGACAGGTCGGAGAGGTCAGGGCTTGTGCTGGAGGGATGTGGCGACTGCTGGGCGTCTGTCACTGTTCATGATAAGCCTGGTGGATGGGTCTGGCGGACTGCAGAGGTACAGGAGATTAGACATAATACAGAGAGCCGAACAGAGACAAGAAAGTGTGTAGGTAGAAGTTGGCTTCTTACACTGGTCAGAGATAAATTCAGCTGTTGGTGTTTCTGATCCCGGATCAGTCGAATGCAGACTTGAACAGAGAAGTGGTGTTGAAAGATGATGTCTTTCCTTTCCCTCCAGAAATAATCCCTGTGTGAATGAAAATGAATGATGAGCAGTAGGATGAGTATCAGCAGAGCTCTCCCACACACCGCTCCGAGACATTCTGTCCTGGACAATTATTTCTCAGTCCATTCCCTACGTCTCCACACCATTGACTGCGGGGCGACTGTGCTGGACATGCTTTACCTCTGACACCATGGTGGACGCAGTGGGAGGCTCAATAAAGTGAGTCATTGCTACATTCAAAACACACGATGAGGAATGGGAGATTTAGAGGTAATAACTTGACTTGCCTCTGGCCCCCAGACTTATCCTTCTGTGTGTTTCTCTAGCTATGGAACTTTTGGACCTGTGGACCTGTATAAATTAAATAAACACACTTGTCATAGATATACATGTATCACAGGACAATTCTGCCATTTTGTTGTCATGAACAAATGCCATTTCCATCACATCTGAAATCACCATTCATTATGTAGTGTAAATTATAGTAATGGAAACAATTTTGGGAAAATAATGGCAGGCTTCTTTGTTTTGTATAAGCTATTTTCATTACTAGCATTTTATGTGCCCTTAATACAAATTAATTTTTTTTTTTTTTTTTGTGTGTGTGTGCATAATTTGACAAATTAATTGGAAATGTCACACTTTTCTTTACACATGTAAACATGTTTCTCTAATTAGAACAGAACAGAACATCGCTGAGGTAAAATTTCATAATTAAAAAGTCACAATTTGGGGAAAAAAATAAATCTCACAATAAATGTTGAAATCAAGTCAAGTCACCTTTATTTATATAGTGCTTTTTAAAGCAGCTTTACAGTGATAACATTAGAATCATGCAACATAGTTTGATTTGGGTGTACAGCAGCTCTAGAAGAAAATAGTGTTATTGTCCAGCTTAAGTAAATTCAGACTTCAGAGTCCCCAACACCTGCGATGAGACGACTAAACGCCTGTGAAAGACGACTCGACGCCTGTGAAGAGACGACTCAATGCCGGCGATATGTTATGCCCTAAATTAATACATGATTAACTAACTGTATTTTTCTATGTACATTTCTGAAATGCACTTTCTGTAAAGCTGCTTTGAAACAATATGTATTGTGAAAAGCGCTATACAAATAAATTTTAATTGAATTGAATACGTCATCAATGATGGATTTTCATATATTTATGTCTAGGGCTCAGTACAAAAAATTGAAATCAGTAAAAGTTATTGATCTTATTGTGATGAATAATCCAGGTATATGTTTTTTTTTTTTTTGACCTTGTGATTTTTTATTAAAATATGTGACAGACTCTGGTGACGTATGCCGAACTTCTCCAAACATTTCGTCCCCATAAACCCCACTCCTTTTGTACAATTTGACTTCATCCAATCGACAACAGATGGATAGAAGTGCCGCCCTACATTATTTTCTTTTTCAATAATCCATTTCACTTGGATGTCCATCAAAAAGTGAAAGAAAAGATATGTTGCTGCATCAACTAACATCACAATTTTAAGAAAAATCAATGCCCCTGCCTGTATATTACTTTTATTATAACCTTTATTTTCCCAGGAAAAGAAGCACGCTGAGATTAAGAATCTCTTTTACAAGAGCGTCCTGGCCAAGACTGACAGACACAGCTCGTGTGAGTTTAACAGATAACATCCATCAATACATACACATATACACACACACACACAAGCAAATCAAATCAAATTTCAATATCAATACATAACTAGTTAAAAGATTTACAGCCTGATGTTTCTTTCTCTAAATCGTTTAAAACTACTTTGAAAATGTCCAATGAAACCAGCTCCCTAAGTTTCAATGTACTTTGCAAATTATTCCAGGCAGAGGGAGCAGCAAATTTAAATGCCTTTTTCCCCAATTCAGTACGTACCACTGGAACAGACAGTAAGAATAATTCCTGGGACCGTAGGCTATAGCTATAAACATACTTTTGACAGATGTAGGTATAAAGATATGAAGGAAGTAGACCCAGGATAGATTCATAAATAAAAACATGCCAGTGTTTTTGTCTTCGGATGGACAAAGCAGACCATCCAACCCGAGCATACAACACACAATGACGAGTGAGGGTTTTAAGATTTGTTATGAACCCCAGTGCACCATGATAAACAGTGTCTAAAGCATGTAAACACTGTGAAGATGCATGCATATATATAACATCACCATAGTCCAGTAGACATTAAAGTGGCTGCAACAAGCCTCTTTTTTGCCTCAAAGGAAACTTATTCAATGAATAATGGGCATAAAACATTGATTTGAGTTTAAATATTATTATTTTTTAATAAAAATTCTATTATGTGAGAAGAAAGAGACTACGAGATACTAGCACAATGTAGGTGACTGTCTGCCAGGAACAATGATCAAATACAGTTTAGAGGTCATTATGCGAAAATATTTGATCATGGAATGTTGCGACTGACCAATCGAAATGAAGTATTTCTGAGAGCTGAGCAATAAACTTCTCCATATTAAATGAAAAGACCGAACACAGAGGCCTGCGACAGGCGCCAGAGCTATTGATGACTGTCTATATTGCAAACACACTTGATTGAGCTGACAGGGGCACACAAACACTAAATGACTAATGGGAGAAAGATAAACAATGTTAGGAAAGACAGACAAGGTAAAGAGATAGAGAAAATGACAGGCCCCCAGCAGACCTGATAAAAAGGTGTGGATGACTTCATTTCTCGGCACTAGGTCCACAAGGCGTACGAGCAGACAGGGGTCAGGGGAGGGCAGTGGCCTTCAAGGCTTTTCTATCCCTACCCGTTTTAATGGCTGGGAATCTGCCCTGCTGACCCTTCTCGTGTAGCGCTGCAGGGGAGGGTGTCTGATCCCCACCTTTGACCCCTCAGCTGGTCTTCTCTTCTCTTTTCCTCAGTCAGTTCTGCGCAAATCACACCACATCATAGGAATCAGATTACAAGCAGGAAAAACATCAAGAGCAGAGTATGACGTGTTTTACCAACAAACCACTCTTTGAATCGGCTACATTCATGGACGGTCACAGATTTATAGCAGTTCAGCAGGGGAACGTCTTTGGGATCCTAAAATCCTCCCTACTGCAGACTCCTATAAAATAACAGATGACATAAAGATGGTCGCCTTTAAATTACAGTATAGTGCTGCAAAATAGAGGCGAGCTGTGCGGATGTCAGAGTCATCACTCGGTTTGTGGCGTCAAATTTTTTCTGAAGCTCACTTTCAGCTGACAGCTTCATCTTTAATCACCTCTGCATCTGGAGAGCCAAATGACTGAAGGAAAAGCCTGGCGATATTTACTGGCAGGTCTCGGAGAACATAATCATATATCTACAGCTTTGAACGATTGCTAAGCATTATAGTATGTCTGCCCCATGAAATCATGACCGAGTGTGCACTACACAAACATGTGTGATACACAGGCCAATTTTCTAATAAGGCAGCAGGGAGGCTGTGTGTGTGTGTGTGTGTGTGTGTGTGTGTGTGTGTGTGTGTGTGTGTGTGTGTGGACGTAGCGGTAGGCTACATGGCTGTTTCTCTTATCTTCAACCCTTTAAATTTTTCAAAGGTGTGTTTTTGTTTCAGCTAAGCACTTTCATCAGGTTTTGTTTTCTTAGTTGGCATTCATTTAACATGGATCCACAGGCTTGTTCCACAGACGGCGTGGAACAATTACCCCTTCTGTTCTCTGTCCGTGCTGCGCTTTACAGAAAAAACAACAACAACGGCCTCAGGCGATATGAGTTTAGGTATATGTTGCATGCTTACCTACTTAACCGATAAACACTACATCAAAGCAATGGTTGCTGAGAGACAGTAAACTATTATCATCAAGCTTTGAGCCCCCTGAGACCTTTATATGCCATAGCCATTTTCATTCATGTCATTCTCATGATTCCATGTGCTGATGTGGTAGATCCCCTTTAGACAAACTCCCAACCCATTTAAACATATCTTCAGACTAAGTTGTTCTTGGACTGATATTATTAGAAAGCCGTCTCCCACAGACTCACTGTATAATTAAATGCATATGATAGTAAATGTCATATTGTATATAAATTCACCGTCCCTTTGAATTCATTTTTTAAGGATGCCTTGGGGTCAGTACAGTTCATTAAGGTGATTTTTAAATATTTCTTTGTATTTTTTTTTTAAATCTATCAAAATAATCCGATGAAACATAATCTAGGAATATATACACTGCTGTTCAAAAGTTTGGGATTGGTAAGATTTTTAAAAGAAGTCTCTTATGCTCACCATGGCTGCATTTATTTGATTAAAAAAACAGTAATATTGTGAAAATACTTTTTTTCTATTTGAATATATTATAAAATGTAATTTATTCCTGTGATCAAAGCTGAATTTTCAGTATTATTACTCCAGTCTTCAGTGTCACATGATCCTTCGGAAATCATAATTCGCTGATCAAGAAACATTTATTTTTATCTTCAGTGATGAAAACAGTTGTTTGGATTTTTTTTATCAGGATTCTTTGGTGAATCTATGATCTCATAACTCGATTTGTCTCACAGTTATCAAAATATCAAAATGGTATAAATCATATTCCAGATGTTAAATTATTTACGTCTGTGAACATGCTAAATTACACAGCCATAAACTTGTTTATATCTTGGTAGTATTTAAACCAAGTATTTTATTGCCAGACCAGCTCGCCAGGCCCACTTAACCCCAACATCTGTAATGATGAAGCACTCTGTTAAGGACCTTAAAGGCCAGGCATGGATTTAGTTAAACCTCTATTTAGAGCTGGACATCCCAAAACTATTAAATAACCATGACGCTGATGTCTAGCACATCTCTATCCTGATCTTTACTACACATATCGGTTCTTCATAGGTGTCATTGGGTGCTGTCAGAAGACACAGTGTCTCAACCAACTATCTCACACTCTAAAAATAATACAAGTCGTAATGTCAGCTATAGTCTTGGCAGTGCTGTCTAAAGGGAGAAGCCCGAGCGTAGATGTAAGGAGGGTGGAAAGACAGTAACGGGAGAAATGAGCGAGAGAGGTTCAAATTTAAAAGGCAGACACCTCAGACAGATTGATGCGTGTTGCGAGCACAGAAGTCTTTCCATGCTATTCTATTTCACCGATTAAATGTGAGGGGTCTGACGGAGCATGAAGCCAGTGCCCTCACCAGAGAACCAAAGAATCCAAGGGAAAGTCTCTCTTTTGGATCTTCACGCCACCAGACTTCAAACACAGGCCACACAGGCCAGGACATCACAGGAAAAATAAACACACACAGTCAGAGACACAGGACAGGAAGGGGGAGCGGGACATTTGGAGAGGAAAATAAGACAAACAGTCAAATAATCCTGATGATAAGGTGAAGAATTAGGGGGAAAAGCGAAGTGTCTGTTGAAACGTTTACTGGAAAGCTGGAATTTTATGGGAGACAAATGTCTAGCAAGTTAATTTGACACAAATTAGGTCTGCTAAGACAAATGCTGAGCAGATACTCTCTAAAGTAGTAGACCATCTGGTACAGTCAGGAGTACAAATTTGCTCTGCATACAAACACTTAACCACAACTTAAACTCCCGGTGACTGGAATGAGGCAAAATTAAGCATCATACTCCCTGATGTCTGAGACAGCAGACTATAGAGGTAATAAAATATGTCCTTAAAGAAATAGTTCACTAAAAAATGACATTTCTCATCATTTACTCACCCTCAATTGATTCCAAACCTGTATGATGAAATACAGCAGCTAAAATACAATAGAAATATTGCCTTGGCAACTAACTGAAATAAAATTAAGTTAAAGTATTAAAAATGACAAAATAACACACACAAAAGAAAAATGTAATTAAAAAAATTAAAGCTAAAATAAATATTTAAAAAATAACAATTATTAAATACAAAATAATGACAAAAACACATAACAAAATGACTAAATCTGAAAATAAAATGAAAACTGAAAATTTAAAAATAAAAGCTTTTTTTAACAATAGATATAGAGTAATAGCATATAAATAACAATAAAATAATGTTGTAATAGTTTAATAATATTGACAGTTTCATTTTTGGGTGAATTGTCTCTTTAAGAGCAGCTTAATTGAAAATCCTGTCATTGTGCCTGAAAGTCCATTAGAGAAATATTTATCCACCAACTATGAAAAACCAATTCAGCCATTATTGATTTCCCCAGAGCACTGACCACCACAAGCAATCACATGGCTCTGTATTTCTGGGCTTTGGAAACAAAACAAGCCGTTCCCTCGATTCTCTTTGGATTACAACTCCCAGAGTGACCATGCAGGCCTGTTTGTTTTTAAATCCCTTCCGTGGTGAAACCAGGGCCACATGGTCACCAATTGCAGCACATGGAGGTTCGGAGAGGGTTAATCAACTCCAATCGTTCTTTAGCTCAGCTTGATTGATTAATTAGTGCTAGAAAAATGATCTAAATTCCACAACCCATTAGCCGAAATAAAAACAAGTCACTGCCGAAATGCTATTTAAAATGCCAACAGGTTGAATGGAAACTGACAGGGCTAATAACGCATCACGGGTCAAGGGCAGGCAGCCCATCATTTATGCAGTTGGTGTAATAGAGACTCTTGATTTCTCAAGGCATAAGCCTCATACGGTCCCAGGGCAGCTGTTTCTGTAGAACTGCAAAGCTTGGCTGAGCACTGACCTTCCTCTAGCTACTGACCCACCAGGCACGCTAGTTCCCAATGAGCCCAAAGAGCATCACCACAGGATGAACCTTGGATAAAAACAAAAGCTAGTTTGTCTCCGTCATCGCATGCACATGAGTCTAAAGATTCTGAATTCACATACAAGATTCCTTATAATGGCCCCATTGTGCATTTGAAGAGAGCTGCGATGAGAGAGAGTGACAGAGAGATGAGGAGGGTACTGTGAGAAGGGGAATGTACCAAGTGCCATTTAGGAACAGCTGCCATTCCGGAGTGAAGTGTTTATAGTTTAGATAACTGGGAGTCAGGGAGATGCCTCGCAGGGGGGCTTCGTGTGGTCCAGAGATGAGTATTTAGCCAAGAATACTTCAAAATCCCACAGGCCTCAGAGAGCCACTGGTGTTGGCTTTCACCGCAAGCAGAAAAAAGCATCGCAAACATCACACAGAGTTCTCTGAAGATGTATATATTCCAGTTTGACGCAATCAGAACATGTAAAATTCAACACAGATTTTATTTACATCCTAACATTTTTACACATATTAAAAATTCAAGTACATTATTTGAAGCATCAGAGGCATATTTTATTTAAATATCTTTTTGCAACTTAAGAGCTCTTTTTTAAAACCTCTCCCCCCACTTATATGTTTTTTTTTTTTTTATAACTCAAATGATCAAAATCAACAGTGCACTTTGCAATCATGAATTCCTTGCCAAATTGACATTATTTACAGACGTGCAAAAACGATACAACCCAGAAAGCAATGAGTAAATTTTTCTTCAGATTTTGGAGAGTCACAGTGCCATAGTAAACAAGGACGTAAACCATGATATCTGGAATTACATCTCACAACACACTCATTTTCCCATGAAGAGCACCTGATCTTGGCAAATGCAGCAGCAGGAGATGGCGGGGATGAGGGGACAGAGAGACAGACGGAGGGAGGGAGGGATGTGTTGTCTGTTTCCATGACGGCGTACTTTAAAACCTCAGGCATGAGCTCTCAAAACCTCTGCAGTTAAGAGACACAAGGTAAACATACAGCGTGTGAGACTGGACATATGGCAAATATACACACACAATTACGTCACATTTCCACATATGCCAGTAATTACATATACATGTACACAAAGACGTGTAAAACACACAGCACACACACATACACAAACATAAACAGTACAGAGAACCTATTCATTTCATTCATATTCAGTCATATACAGCTGGAGTCTGTGTCAATTTGCACAAAATATGCTATTGTTGTTACTCTTCTATTCTTTAAAGCTATCCCTCACCTTTTTTGCTGCATTTTGTCCTAAAACAAGAGAAAGTATTAAGAACATTAGACTTGGAAAAAGTAAATAAAAAAACTAAAAGGTGAAAATGTTTTTTTTCAAGATAACATTTAACTTTTGATCGACAGATTTCTTTGATTAATTCTTTGCTCATCAGCCACACTGTAAATAATTGACACACTGACAAATAATTGGGTTTGGGAGATGGGATGTGGGATGCTGAGTTCAAAACTGTGTTTTCCAAAAAGAAAAATAATTTAGGAAATTGTTTCTCTTTGCATTTTACGTATAATCAGTGTTGGGCGTAATGCATTACCAAGTAATTAATTACTGCAATTTAATTACTTTTCCCTTGAAAAAGTAAAGTATGGGATTACTCAAAAATGTTCTGTTATTTAATCACGGTTACTGCAGAAATATCAATTGCTCACTAAAAACCCCTCACACTTTCAAGTCATTTCAAGTTTGAATGTGACATAATTGAATTAAATACTGTATAGACTATAGAACAAGTCTATATATATATAAAAGTGGATTTAACATCAAAGTTCAACGTCTAATATTAAAATGTATGTTTTTAATGTAACCTTCTCCCTTCACATACTTAGTTCAAGATTAGTTTATGCAGTTTTAAATTATTTATTTGATCGAATTTAAAGAGCAGGCCCTTGTATTGTTCTAGTAATTAGTAATAAGTCATGCATTACTTTTTAGTGAGAGTAATTAAAACAGTAATCGAATTACTTTGTTGAAGATGTAATTAGTAGCTAGTAATTCATTACTATTTAGAGTAACCCAACACTGCGTATAATAAATAAATATTTTCAATAATATGTTATTGATATAAAATAAGATTTTTTTGTTAGCTCCAAATGTGACCATATTGTTCAAATAGGAACATAAGTTGCAGTTTGCAGTTAAATTTTGCAACAAACATTTCAAATGTGGGAAGCACAATATAATTCAAAGGGATTTATGAACAACAAATGACTTACTTGTAAGATACTGAAGCACATAACAAAGAATTACTACCATGAAAATTATGAATCCAATGACTTTGATATACCACATTGTAGAGTCAGGTTCTGTGATAAAAAAAAAAGAAAGAAAGTAAATTGAAGAGTTCTGAAAATCAACCATAATGGTACATTATGCCTGCCACCTAGTGGTTATTTGTAATATTTAAAGGATATTTAGGTACTTTCCAATTGTGTGAATAATTTTGTGTTTGTGTTGCATCTGATTCACCTGTAACTATGAGGTTAAAGCTCTTGTGGATGGGAGTGAGCAAGGACTTATGGGAAACTCTGCATGTGTACTTATATCCAGAGTCCTCCATGCTAGGCTGGAGAAGGAAGAAGGCTGAGAGCGAGTATGTGCCATCTTGATGAAGTCGATGACTTGAGTATAGAACATTCTTCAGGAACAAAGGCGTAGGGCTGCCCCTGAACGGTTCACGGTACCACTCAATGTTTACGTCCAAAGGATAGTACCCATCTGCATTGCATATTAGCTTCTGGTCCGTACCAAGTGCAATAGACACGGTGGAGCCCACATTCAGAGACACACGGGGTTGTTCTGCGGAGTTTGAAAGGGAAAAAAATAAACATTAAAGTGATAGTTCTCCTAAAAATTTTTTATTCCCCCTTATGTCGTTCCAAACCTGTATAACTTTCTTCTGTGGAACTCAAAAGAAGACATTTTTAACTGTTTTTGTTCATGCACTTTTTAACAAAGTCCATTGACTTTCACTGTATGGAGAAAATAATCACTGAAACATTTGTCAAAATATCTTCTTTTGTGTTCCACAAAGGGTTTGGAACGACATGAGGGTGACAGAATTTTTGGGTGGAATACCTTGTGTGATCCCAATGCTTAAATATTTGAAACACTTGTGATAATTGAAACATGCATTTTTCTGTAAAGCTGCTTTGAGACAAAATGTATTGTAAAAAGCTCTATACAAATAAATGTGAATTAAATTTAAATTTAATCTCACCACTTAGGCTAAGGGGAATATCATGGCTGCCATAGAGAGGAGGAACCATCACGGAGCAGATATATGTGCCCTCACTTCGTTTTTTAGTGGGTAGAAGTTTTAAGGAGGCATTTCCAGCGGCAATGGCCTTGACAGCCACTCCACTACCTTCACTCTTCCCTGTGCGGCTGGAATAGCTAAAGAGTTTGCTGCGCTCCCCGTGTCGCTGCAGTCTCCACTCCACTGTTGCATTAGGCAGTTTATGATCCACTGCAAACTGACAGTGCAGGTTTGGCTCCTTCAAGAATCCCACCTCCACGGAGGGAGTCCGGGTCAAAACAACCATCGCAGCTGGAAAACACATATGGAAGAGAGGATGAAACATTAAAATGTGGAAGAGGAAAAAGTAAAAGAAGAATCCCTTGATTGCAGTGGCATGCAGTGGTGTTTTGAAATGAGGAGGCAAAGTCATCACTGTTTTTTATGATTTAAAAAAAAAGAAAAGAAAAGTAAAGTAAATTCATGTTCAGTTACACTTAACACATTTTTGACTTTCTCATCTAATTCTTTTAGGAGGCACTGCCTCTAGATCTCTTGCCTCCTTGTTTGATTGGTACCTGAGGTTGTCAGGAGATCCCTATCATTAACTGTTATCCATTGTAGATAGTCCACCTGTCCACCTGCAGAAGCCGTAGGTGTGTGTCTGAGGAAGGTGGTGATGACGAACAAGCCTTGTGTATGGCGTATCGTACAGGTGAACCAGACGTCACGATTTTGCGCTCCTGTAATAGGCCAGCGCATTACAATCCCTCCAGTGCTGTATCTACGAATCTCACAGTGTAGTGTATCCTCATCTCCCTCCAAATAACGCCTCATATCCACTTTTGAGCCTTCATGAGACACAACAAATGAACACAGTTTATTATTTAAAGAGCAAAGGAAATCATAAGGTTACAACTTCTAATGACTTTCGCTTACCTGTGACGAGGAAGGTAATAGTAGGATGTAAAGGGCTGTCACCGACATTACCAAACTGAAGCACAGCCTCTCTGTGGATATACTTGGTTTCTGTGTGGCCCTCTTCATTTATATGAACTTCCTCGTCCACAAACTGACAAGGAAGCCATTGAAAATCATGAACCGACTTTGTCCCATTTACACCTGTCAAAACAAACAAATCAGTAAATACAGAGAATAATAACAGGATAAACTTAATTGTAAATGAAATGTGAGGCTAAACAAAACTGAAAATAATAATAGGCCCTAACAAGTAAAGCACAGTTCCCAATATAAACAACCCTGCTAAATAAAAGTGACTTTAAACTCCTCTAATAGTTATTTCCTTCAAAATAGTATCGATATAGTACATAATACTTCTGTTAAATTCGATCATTTTATATTTATAATACAACTTTTGACATAATATAACATTATACGAGCAAAGGAAGCAAAGGAAAATATGTCGGTGACTCTACAGCAATATAATCCTTATTTATTTGTACATACATTTATAATTAGGCCTACCTAAGCATAAAAGAGCTAGAGTAAGACCAAAAGTCCAAAACATAATGTCAATCCTCGTCCTCAGGACAACCATCCGTGTTTCCTAAAACCGCCATGCATTGCAAACACGTATACTTTCTCTTTCGTTTCGTTTCAAACTGATTCGACTGGTTGTGTTTCGTTCAGTCACAATTCGTTCGTTCACTTCCACGCACTGACTTATATTTTAGTTGATAATGATATTTGTAGCAAACTGAATGAACTTTGACAAATTGTGTAAAAATGACACATTTCAGTAAGCATAATAAAAATGTGTGTCGGTCACTCATGATGAATGATAACAACATGCAGAGAGAGTGTCACTGAATAAGTAAGTGAACGAATCTTTTTGGTGAACTAATTCAAAAGATTCGAATCAAACTGTTGTTACCTCATTGTCCGCGTGAAAGCGCTAGAGAAACGCAGCAAGCAGAACAAGAGCTGGCGCTCCCCTCTTTCTCTCTCCATCCGTTTACGTTGACGCGGAAGCACACTGTTCATTTGAAAACTACTAAGAAATCAAACGTGTTGAGCAGATGATTCAAAACTAATGTTATCTCAGATTTCCAGAGATAAACATTTGAAAACTGCCGTGATAATTTTCTCAGCGTGGGGATTCAATGGATATGAGTTAACTGTTACTTAATTTGGCGACGTTTCTTTGAAAGCCTTGCAGTTATGGAGCAAGGTAATAAATAATCTATTAACTTAAAAGTTATTAGAATAATGCGCGTTCCCTTTTTCTTTCCCGCATTTAGTTTTATGTTGAGATTATACGGTTACTTAATGCCATCATTTAATTCATGCTCGACGTTATCTGCGGTTATTAAGTTTACATTCTTCTATTCTTATAAATTAGCATGACGTTCATCTGATCTACACTAGTACAGGATGACATGATGTAGCAATTTGTATCATATTTTGGTCGTGGACTAATTAGAAAGTGTCCCATCTGATCTATATTCACACAAACAAAATGACAGAAGAATTCTGAAAGCATCCTATTCATGCATTGTAGCAGCGCATTGTATGACATCCACTTAGTGCAAGAGACAAAACTCATTCTAATTATAAAATAAATGGGATGAAAGTAAACATACAATATTAGACAATTCAGATCATTTATCATGCCTGATAGAAGCATTACCTGATACACCTCCTCTTTTTCAGAGTCATGGCTGAGCTGTGAGAAGACAGCTGTGCTACAGGGAGGATTCTTATTGGCCAATCAAATATGCCAACCTGAGCCACTGTCGTCTCTGAGGAAAGAGGACTGGGATCGGATTGGATCTCCGATTGTTAAAGCTGTCAAAGAGATATGCGAACATTCGCTCAGAGACTCTAAAGACAGACTCCATTGGAAAAAGAAGATTCTCTGTATTGTGTGGAGCAAGATCCTAGAGGTGAATAACAAAGAGGACATCGATATCAGATGGAAGGAAGACCCATTGTTTGCCGTACAGAACAGCCTTCCAGACATTAATCACATTGTGCTGTTTGAGCTGGTAAAGTCGATGAGCTTTCCTACCATTTATGTGGAGCTGCTGTTGTGCTTTCAACCAGCTGAACGGTGCAAAGAGCTCAAGCTGTTGGTTGATCATGTGACAAGCAGCAGCACAGAGGCAGATGTGAAGCTACTGTTGGAGGTGTGGTGGAAACTACTGAAGGGCAAGAGAGGATGTCTTGATGCCTTAGACCGTCTCTTTACGGCTCAGTGTTCACGCTCAATGACGTCCACGACTGAGCCATCACCACTGGCATCAAAAAGATTCAAACCTGACCCAGAATCCACATCTACATGTATGGTGTACATACTATTTGAGGGACTGAGGAAAATAAAAGAGCATTTGACTTCCTCTGAGTTGTGTAATTTTGCCCTGTCAAATTGCATGGACGCTCTGTACACCAACTACCTTTTAAGCAATGCTGCTGATCTCTCCATTGAAGTTCAACTCCAGGACATCTCTCGCATAGTGAGCTTTAAAAAGAGAGATGAAGTGAATGATGGTTTTGATTTGATTGAGGTCATACGTGAGGCTCGCAGAGACCTCGCTGCCGCTCTCACTCCTGCTGAGACCAAGCCGTGTGGAATGACATTCATCCAGGCCATGCAGGTCACACTTGAGAGTATATGCTCCTGGGAGGTTATGGGGCTTCTGAAGATGCCCAGCAATGACCCAAGTGTCACGGCGATCCGTCTGAAAGATAGCCTGGGCAGAGTTCTGACGTCTTTGGAGCAGCCACTTGCTAAAGATCTGGTTGGAAATGGGCAGACTTTGAATAATTTGAGAGTAACTTTGACAGGCTTACTGGAATCTTTATCATTCACTGTTCCTGAATGTTCTGCAGCAGAAGTAGCAAATATTTCTATGACCATCTTGGACCATCATCTTGAGGGGTTTGAAGGCCTTCCTGGACTGTTTGCCTCCAAACTAAGTCAAAATGTCAGTGAGGCGGAGTGGATTCAGTGCCTAGAGAGAAATGCATGTGTGTTTCAAACCAAAGATCTTTTGATGACGTTGATCTCCACCCTTACAGCTAAATGTCAAAGTGACGCTGATGTTCAGCCCTGCAGAAAGCTCAAGGATATCATTGTAGACCTATTTTCCCACTTGTCCTTACCTGACAAAAATGCAATACTTTCAGAATTGCTCCTCATCTCCAGAAAAGGTCTTCATGGATTTCTTCCCAGTTCGGTAACTATAGGCTTCTCTGAGGAGCTCAATATGGCCTTCAACAGCATCATTCAGAGTGGTGCAAATAGCAACCTTGATGCAGCAGTCTCTGCAGTCGCCCGAGTGGCTTTCCAGAACCCCGAAGCCACTTTGCGGCGATGCTGCCACATGGCTGTTGTCAACCTGGGAGCTCACACTCTGATAGCCGAGATTCTCCTGCAGCTCTCAGGTCTTGTGTCTTCACCAGGAGTTCACAACTACAACCTGCTGTGTAGATGCCTGCAGGACACAGTGTGGAGCAAGCTGTCCTCACTTCAAGAAGAGAACCAGTTTCTACAATTCTTGACTGAGATGATGAAGTGCAACATAACTGGATGCATGGGAGAAATGCGGAGTTTCCTTCCTCCGGAAAAAGCCTTGCATGTGTTTGTCCAGCCGTACCTTCTCCCAGTATCTCCCAGCTCAAGCAAATTAGAGTTTTGTCTCCGACTTCTTCAGTGCACACTAAGCCAGGAGACCTTGAGTGATTCAACACATTGGATAATGAGCTGCTCTCCATTCCCGCTTTTATATTGTCTAGCTCAGCTCTTGAATGAGTGCAATAGGTGCTGGGACCAGCCGGTAGAAGGTGAGACACCAATCTCCATGGAGTCCAAAGACCTGCTATTGTCTGTACTGCACACACTGGGGATAATTGTTGGGAAGGAAGTGGCCCAAGCACCTGATGTTTGGTCCAGAGCTCTTTCTTGGCTCTACAGCAAAGTGGAGGAACTGGACTGGACCATGCGGTTTTACCTGAAGGATGTGTGGGGAAAACATTTCAAGTATGAAGTTCCAAGTTCTCTGTTGTCAGTTTGTGATCTTCCTGAGCAGGAGTGGTCCGGTCTGGACTTGCCTCAGTATGGACAAGGTACTGGACTTGTAGCATTTTTAGAATGCTGCGCTCTTTCAGACTGTGTTCATGAGACAATGCTGGAATCTCTCTCCCTAAACCTGCTGAAACCAGATGACCTTAACATGTTCAGTAAGGGCCTGTTAGTAGCTGCGTGTCAGTTGCTCCCGTGGTGCACATCTGGAGAATGGGAAAGACTTCTGAAAGTGTTACAAGAACTTTTACAGTCAAGCAAACTTTATGTGCCATACTCTTTAGAATACGTTGATTTCCTTCCGTTACTTGACCTACGTTCGTTTGCCAGAGAGATGCGCCTATCGGTGTTTCTTCTGCGTGTCTTCCAGTTGCTTTGCAGTTCCAGCTGTTCTGATTGGCTGCCACCTCAAGGCTGGGTGCATACAGGACGGCTTTACGCCAATGCAATGAGGGGCATTATCAGCTCAGTCACAGAGAAGATTCCCCTGCAGTCCACCGCTGCATCCCCCAAATCCTCCGGAGCTTGCAGTCAGGAAGTTCTGTTTGTGATGACTCAGCTTTACTGTCATGTGCTCCATGTGCAGGTGATGATACCTGGCCAGCCAGAGGTGCTGTTCCTGTGTGCACTGGAGATTCTGACCCACTATGAGGCTGTGCTCTCAGCATATCCCGACAGCTGCACTGCCCTGCAGGGACGCGATACGCGTCACTTCTTCACTACAATCGCAGACAATTTGCAGTGTGCAGATATGAAGGCTGTTCTACACCAGAAGATAGCTCAGTTATGAGATCACATCAGGAACTCAATGCAATATGACTGCTATACCACAAGTTAAATTTTTGTTCTTGTTGGTTTGTCACAAAAGAAAGTTAAATAAATAATTGTGCATAGCATTTGTTGTGTTCAACACTTCTTTTCAATTATATATTTGCTATGATTTTGCAATAAGGTTGTTTGCTCACATGAGCTAAAGCATTAATACCTAATGAACTATGAACTAATAATGTAAAATTCTTATAGCATTTATTAATGTAGGTTAACGTTAATTTGTAATATACTACTGTTAATTTATGTTAGTTCAAAATACATTAATATTAAATTATACAGCTTTTTAAAAATGCATTAATATGTAGAGATGAACATTGAACTAGATTAATAAATGCTGTGAGAAGTTGCATCCATTATATTTCTGAACTGTACATATTGGCCTAGTTTCACAGACAGGGCTTAGATTAAGCCAGGATTAGGCCTTAGTTCAATTAGGGCATTTAAGTAGCTTTTTTATAAATATACCTTAGAAAAAAACATTACTGGTGTGCATCTTGAGACAAAACAATGGCACTGACATATATTAAGATATAAGTTGCTTTTAGCTAAAACATCTTAAACATGCATTTTATTCTGGGACTAAGCTTAATCCTTGTCTATAAAAACAGGGGTGGAAGTTTTATTTTTTAACTTTAATTGGCTGTAGGGCAGGATTTCTGCACTGGTTTGTGCTGGTTTTAAGCTCAGTGGGTAAAGTATTCTTAAAATGCACTCTAAAAATCGGAATAATTCCTAATAAATAATTATTCACGGAATCACGGTATTTTGAAGTTGCCGCGATAACAATATTGTACATGTTCATTATCGTGATATAGGCCTGCCCTGTCGTATTACCGAATACAGGCACATGTCTAATGATAATGGTTCTCTGGAGTAACAAGCATCGCATTAACTACAATAATAACAACAAGGCAATCTGTCCCAAATAAAATGTTTTATTCCAAGTGAAAATTTCAACAATGTAAACTCATGAGGATCATCTTTTTAAAGTCAAAGTCAGGAACTACAAGTCTCATGGTCTTTTCATAAATCTGCAAAACAGGTGATTATAGTAGCTAAAAATTATAATTACACTCATGTGTAGCGAGTATAACATAGGGTTTCAGGACAGACCACTTAATGTCTCACTCACTTCCCATAGTTTTTTGGCCACAGCATCATCTTGAGCCTTGGCTTTCACTTTCTGCACAGCACAGTTGGAGAAATACCTGCCACTCAGGGCTTCAATGCCCTCCTGCACGGCACAGTGTAGAGTTGTCTGGGCACCAGCCTCTACATCCTTAAAGAACAGAGCTGCGATGCCTTTCAAAAGCCTCCTAGACATTTTATTCAAATTGCGGGCCAAATCTGAGTTTATAGCACCTGGAGAAAAAAATGTGTTGGTATGAATGGTTAGCCTTTCCATAATATAAAACACTGCAAGTCAAAAGTGTGTTCACAACTTGACTAAAATGTTGCTTGTGATGCAAAAAAAACTTTTGAATCTCAAGGTTTCTGCTTAGATTCTTGAAATTAGTAGTGTAGAGTAAACTAATATCAATTGTGCCTACATATGAAATTCTTGATAGAGCTAAAATACCAGTATGATGTTGGAGAGAGACAGACCTGGGTGGAGGCTGTAACAGGTCACGTGGGTTCCTTGCAGCCTCTTGGCGAGCTCATGTGTGAAGAGCACATTGCACAGTTTGCTGTGGGAATATATCCTGAAGACATTCCAGAAAGACTCACCTACTCCAAACTCCTTGTGGGTGCGAAGAGTGTCAAAGTCAAGGTTACCATGATTATGTAAATATGAAGATACGGTGACAATGCGGCTTGGCGCGCACTCTTTCAATCTGTCCAGCAGCAGGTTAGTCAGGAGGAAGTGACCAAGGTGATTGACGCCAAACATAAGACCAAAACCATCTTCAGTAATGCCCTGCATATAAACTCCTAAAAATACAGATATCATGCATTACGTATAGACTTACGTATGATTTTGATTAAATATTCCTTACAAAACCAGCACCGGTGGAATCAGATGGAATAAACTGAATCCACGCTGAATATTCTGTTTTTTTTCTTATTAATGTATTGAATACGTATTAATACTTTCTACCTATAAAGGTTTGGGGGTAGTAAGATTAAGGAAGGGTAGGAATTAAAACTTATATTAAATATAGAAACCAGCTATTTTAAATTGTAATAATATTTCAGCATATTACTGTTTCTGCTGTATTTTTCTATATCAAATAAATGCAAGGTGAGATTAAGAGACAATTTCAAAAGCATTAAAACCTAACCAAACGCTTGAATGCTAGTGTATTTAATGATTAAAATAGCCTATTGAATTAATATTTTATAGTTTATGATATGTTTGCGAATGAAACAAAACTCAACCTGCATTGTTGATAAGAATATCCAGTCTTCTCTCGGTCTTGAGAAAAGTTTCTGTAAAGGAGCGCACTGATTTCAAACTGGCCAAATCCAGCTGCATGTACACCACATTTTTACTCCCACTCTCCTGTGTTGAAACAAAAACAGTGTATACGTTATGTATAACTATAATATCATACATTTAGTAACTTAGGACAATGTTCTCACTCTTTGCACAACAGCAGCAGCAGCTTGGCCGCGTGTTTGGTTCCGACAGGCCAGAATGACTCTCGCGCCTCTCCGCGCTAAATCCACCGCGGTGACTCTACCGATGCCCGTGTTACTACCTGCACACACCGTCACAAAGTTGAGTTCCCATGAAGTGCTTTAAACGACTGACGAAAAGATTGACTTGACACATTCTTAAAAAGGAAATAATAATAAAATTAAATTACGCGTTTTACCTGTAACGATGACCGTCTTGCCGTGCAGTTTTTCCTTGCTTTTGCATCGCGCTCCATTTACATATGTACGAAATATCATCAGCACCCCAATCACAACACCCACGATCAGCAATATTTCGGGCATTTTCAGCGAGAAATAGTCTGCAACATATACGGAAGTAACAATCCACAATATCCATACAGCTATTCTGGGGTTGACATAGCCTGTAAAACCTGTTGCACTGACTAACCGGATGAGTTGGGTAGTTGATTTGTTGTATAATAAAGGTTTTTGTTTTGATTTTGTTTTACTTAGGCACTCGATAAATGGTATTTATGTAATAGTGGACATTCTTTTAATTCAGGGTCAGGGCAGGACGTGCGGTACCGTTTATATGGGACCTACTTTTATGAAACAATATGCTGTATATTTGTAAATATAAAGTTTTAAAGCCCTATATACAGTATTTTGAATTTGGGAAAATTTTGATTAATTTCTGAGACATTTTTGCCCCAAGCCCCGATAACTTCAAACCCTGGAGTGTGTGAGCCATGATGGCGGGGGACAGGGCTCTTTTTTGAGCGCAAGCGGAGGGCCCTTCTGTTTCGAGGCCCGTTTCAAGTTAAACCCAGCAAAGGCCGCTACTGCACACTGCATTTGGATGAAGGCCGGTGTTATACTGAATTATGTAACCATACACATACAAGGCTTCTAGTCCCAGACTAAAATGCATGTTATTGCTGTTTTAACCGAAAGCAACTTGCACTGACATTTCTTAAAATATGTCAGTGCCATTGTTTTGCCAAGTTGCTCACAGTAATGTTTTTTTTTTCTTCCAAGTAACATTTATAAAAGCTACTTAAATGTCCCAATTGTACGAAGGCCTAATCTAAACCCTGTCTGTGAAACCAGGCCCTAATGATGGTACGGTTAGGATTAGCTCAATACAGCGCCTACTATGGTCACATAATTCAGAGGGTCGCAGAATTCAACACATCACCGGCGAGAGTGCATTGCAAGATCGATGCAGCGACTGTTACCTCACTGTCTGAATTCCATAACGTGGTAATGTTTCTATTCATATTGTTTCTAAACTGTATAACTGACTTTCTTATGTGGAATATAAAAGAAGATAATCTGAGTCAGTGGACACTAAAACTGTTTAGTTATACAACATTCTTCAAGCTATATTCTTTTGCGTTCCACAGAAGAAATTCATACAGACTTGAAACAAAATAAAGTTAAGTAAATGACAGAATATCTTTTATTATACACAAAAATCATAAAATGGTCTGTTATTTAAAAATCTTTATATATTTACAATGTAATGACATACATGTCAGAATTTTCTTGCTGACAAAATGACACTTCAGTCACATGTACATGACCAAAAGACGACTTTAGTTGAACAACAAGCTTTATACACAAATGAACTTCACAACCAAGGCTGTGTCGAGGCTCTAACACTACAGAGAAATGGACAGTTCCAGAAGAAAACTAGAACGATAAATGATTCTGCTAATAAATCCTACAAAGGTATTTGCACATGTATGCACTTCTGCATATAGTTACCTAGTGTGCAAAAAACTGCAGAAAAAAGAACAATACATTTTTATAACAAAATAAAATATTTTGGAGTAAATATATTGTTCAAAAGAGTACATAAAAACCTCTTATACTGACACAAAGTATACAGGGTGTAGTGTCGACAAGAGAGGTTTAGGGGAAAATCGAACATCTGCTCCTCAGTCAAAAGGTTTTGCATAAAAAAAAAAAAAATGATAGAAATGTAATGTGCAAACACTTTGTCCGTAACACCCAGCACCCAAAGTACAAATGAATGAATTAACCGCATTATCAAAGTTCCTCTATCCAAACTGCATTTACGGTCCATTGTATTTTTTAAGGAGAGGATGTGTTATGATACAGACTTGGACTGTAGCACTGGCATTTGGTGGAGTTTGGGAGTCTGTGCGTCGACCACTTCAGTCTCTTCTTGGCTAACAGTGGTGGATGTCTCCTCTTTTTTGGGTTGGTTGCTAGTAAACTCTGTGATGCTGAATAGGAACTGCATGCAGCCCACTTTGATGCAGCTGCTGTGGTGAAGCAATGCGGTGCCCTCCCAGCCGGCCCCGCTGCCTCCTATCAGGCTGGAGCTGCTGGCTTTACAGTTACAGGGAGACTTGGGTCCTCCTTGAGCCTGGCTGCTCATCATAGCACCTGCGGGCATCAGCACCGCCTCCGCACACACCTCCCCCAGCGGCTTCCTCGACCTGTTGCCTCCTGCGGATTTACCATACGAGATACAATGCATTATGACAATCATATCACGCATTACAAAAACAATATGTGGGCGGTACTCACTGATGCTGTTTTGCACTTTGGACGCAAGCCCACTGGGTGAAGTGATGTTTGGTTTGTCGGAGAAGTCACACGAGTAAAGCACGTTATCTACAGTCGTCCCGTGCTCACTGTAGTTCAGAAGCTCATAATGCTTCGTGTTCTACGAGAGATTAAAAAACATTTATAAACATTCCTCTCCCTTGATCTGTTAAATCTGGACAATTCGATTAAAATGAGCTTCCCAAGAGCCTTTAATGCGGCATAATTACTGAATTCACTCACTTCATCATAAAAGATGCAGGCATGTTTCCCAGAAACATAATTGCAATGACCGTAGTTTGTAAGGCACACGTCCATTTCAGCACCTAAAAAAAAAAAAGGAAAACCATCAATGATTCAACCTCAAAATAATGCAATCTTGTTTATGTTGCTTTTTGCAAACCGTACCTGTTCCTATGTAGAGAGTCCTATAGCACATGTTGATAGCTGCCCCTTTTCCTGTTAAAGGACACAGTACTGCTCGAGCTTGCACTTCCCTTTTTTGTACTGGAAAAGAGGAAAGATTTGCCACATTATGACAGGAAGGGTCATTAGCGCAGCCTCAACATGATGTGATGAGCGAGTTTTGTTACCTTCAGTGTGTGGGGAGGGTTTGGGCAGAGAGGCAGCGACGGCTGGAGAAATCCCACATTTACTCGAGGGTTGAAGTGATTTGGGAGACAACAGCTGCTGGATCCTCTGCCAGGCCAGAAGTCTGATCAACTCCTCATCCAGCTTATTCATGTCAACTTCTGCAGCACACAGAAAACTATTTCATTCCTCAGAACCAGTCCAAAGTTATTATTTCTACTGGGAAAGAATGGGTTCTTGTACTTGCAAAGCAGATGCACAATACACAGTTATTTCCGGATGAAGTTGAACTCTTACCTGCGTCACCTTGAACCACATTCTTGATGTAGCTGTATAAGCTGCCTATAGAGGAGGGTAGCGTCGAGCCTTTCCCAACAGACATTGCATCAGGGCTCACTTTGTTCTCTGAAAAAAACAAAAAAAACAAGGCATAAATAGGAATTTGTATGTGGACTGAAAAATCTCTAATCTTAAAACTCTAATTCAGTCTCAATTTGGACAACGGATATTAGGGTTTGGAACTAGAAGTTAGTAAACAACTCTTTTAGTAATTTAGTTGAGACACAACATTTGGAATTTTAGTACTTTTTTAAAAAAATGTTACAAAATATTTATGTTCCAAATAAATGCTGTTCTATTGAAAGAATCCTGAAAAAATGTTTGTGGAAACATTAAGATGCAAGCTGTTTCAACACTGATAATATTACGAAATGTTTCTTGAGCACCAAATCAGCATATTAGAATCATTTCATATCAAACTAATTTTGATCAAACAATTTTTGAATGATAGTGAATTTTGTGACAATTCTTGTGCAATATAAGAAGGTTATTTCCCCTTTGTCTTTAAAAAAAACAAACACTTGTACTTTTTAATTGCAGGATACAATGAATCTGATACTCAGAAGGGGATTGTTAATTCTAGAGCATAGCCAAGGGAAATTATGTATGATGTATTGAGTGATGTAAATGAGTATGTAGGTTCAAAAACCTTTAGTTTGAGATGAGAAGCTGCTGTTCGGCCCCGAGGAGGCGTTCCCTACAGCTGAGCTGTGATGATGGGCCGACGCGTCTGAAGCAAGGCTGGTAGATGAAGGAGTATCTCTCTGCACACAGGAGCTGAGGGGACTGCTGCTCTCGGTCTTTATGTCTACATGGTTGGGCAGGGCTGGTTCTGAGAGTGGAGTTTGTAGTCTGTGTGGGGTTTCAGCTGTCATACAAGATTTACCCTCACACACCAACGGGCCATTCACTCCTGTGCCCTTCTCCGCTGGACTGTCAGAATCTCCCTGACAAGATCTTTCTCGGCAGCTTTCGGGCTGTTTGGGTGCCAGAGAGGGCAGCAGAGTAGCCCCCCGGGGGCCAACTGGTGTACCGCTGATCTCCTGCATCTCCATACACTCCTGCGTCTTCACGCCTGACATATCAGTAAGCTCCAAAGCCCGGAGGGAAGAGGACATCTGCTTAGCAGATAAATGTTTCATAATACTGCACTGAAGTGCAATGACATGACGAAGCCACTGTGGAAAGGAGAAAATAAACTGAATGCTACAGATTCCTTTTGCAGTCATATTTATACAACAGCAGTTAAGTTTGTTAATCAAACACTTTATACAGTCCATTTACCTCCTCTTGTTCTTCTTTGCTGGTTAAATGTTGGGCAGACGAAGAACATTCCTGTTCCATAAAACCATTTGTGACCAGCTCTCCATTGCGAAGGCCCATTTGATCCATCAGCACAGGGGGGTTTTGGTAGTGACTTTTAATGGCATTGGGGACCTATGAACACATCAAAGTGACTGAGTCATAAACTAAAACTACTGTCTATGTAGAGGTACCTTTGCTGAAATGACACGATTTTTAATTTGATTACTGGATAAGGATTCTTCTTAAATCATGTTATAGAGATCACACTATCAAGAGTAATTTCAAGCCAAATAAATTGGAACATTTTTATTATTATTATCAATGTTGAAAACAGTTGTGCTGCTTAATGTTTTTGTGGAAACCATTATACTTTTTTTCCAGGATTCTTTGATGAATAGAAAATTAAAAATAAATATTTTGTAACAAATGCATTTACTGCCCCTTTTGATCAATTAAATGCATCCTTGGTGAAATTCTATTAATTTAAAAACTGACCTAAACATTTTAAATAGTGTGGAAATAACTAACTAAATAAAAGGCCATTTATCAGTGAATTTAAGCCATTTAACAGGACAACTCAATTTAAGTCAACAAGCCATATAAGCTTCTACTGTCAATACATATTATATTAATATTATTTTTTTCATCCTACATAAAAGGATTGTGAACCAGTTTTTGAAGGACTGCAGGAACCCTAAAAAAACATGTTACGTTGCCCCACCTTCAATGTCTTTTTCTTGATGCGGCGGACACCTCTGCGATTGGGATGGTGTTGGCGGTGAACCCACCGCAGAAAGTCCACTTTGACTGCGTGTTGGGACAATCGGTCCTGGAACTGATCGAAAAGCTGGCAACGTGTGCTGAGGGTCACATTCTTTTGGTTTAGCTAGAATGGAAATAAACAACTTTTTCATTTTATAGTTCTTAATTTCAGGAGAGAGTAATGAAATCACAATCATCTAAAAGTAAAGATAAAAAAAAAAATTGATGAGCTAGTTGAAATATTACTACTAAAATGTGACATATTACAAAAACTGAAAAGAGAAAAAAATACTGTAATCTGTTGTGATTGGTTCGAAAAAACGATCAAAGACGAGCCACTCACCACCATGTGCTCTACGTGGTTGGGACACATCCATCTCCCAGCGGGCATGGCAGTGAGAGGCGGGTCCAGGCAGTCCATATGGAACAGGAGCGCACAGTAATCACACTGGATCAGAGGAGCCACCCTGCAGCTCCTATGGAGGAAGAGGAGAGAGAGAACCTGATGCAATGTGCAACAATACTGACGACAATGTGATTCCATTTGGGTTTCATGGGTATTCAAATTCTGGGTCATTGTTATTTTAATATTATTTATATAATACAGTATTTGCAAATATTTAATTAATTGCTATATTTTTAGGCTTCATTTTAATTTTAGTATACATCTTTGTAATTCTGTATTAAATCAATGTCATTTTCATAATTTTTAAAAATATTTCTATTTCTATTTCACTAAAGCTACACTGTGTAGGTTTTACTCCCATCTAGCGGTGAAATTGTACATGACTACCAACTGAATATTACTTTCTAGCCCCTCCCATTCCGAGGGCGTTTTAACTCCTATGATGGCCGTATTATTTCAAATCTGCCGGCAGTCGCGAATAATCTCCCTCTCGCATTCGTCACGGTGCAGTGTAAAAACGCGAAAGGCAAAGCGTGAATTTCCAGGTATGTCCCTCTTTGTCTAAAGTATTTTCATGATGGATGAGCAACATGGCTTCCGCCATTCGAGCGACTCGCTCGTATGTATTCTGAATGGCAGATTATACACTTACGAGAATACTTAATTAGTTGGTTGAAGTGATTACACATTAATGAGAACATATCATTTTTAAAGAACAGTGTTTTTTGCTGAAAAATCAACTTAAAATATTAGTGTAGCTTAAAAAAAAACGTTGTACTTTTAGTACTTCATTAAGTTTTTCACTTAATAATACAGTTTTTCCTCTAATAAATGTTTAAATTAACAAAAATGATTTTTATGTTAACACCACCATTCTGAAAACAAATATAAATTTCTCAATTTTAATCAATTCTCATTTTGAAGAATCAATCTTTTAGTCTATGCTGTTTTGAGTTGATGAATAAACGGAACATTGAGTGCGTTTACATGCACCCTCATAATGCAATCATAATGGGATTTTGGCAAAATTGCAATTAAACTTTACCTCAAGTAAACAAAAGACTTTTGATCAAACTAATGCGATTAAGCTCATAATTGTAGTAACCATAATCACAATAAACTATGTGGTGTATGATGATTTTAATCGCAATAAACAGGCATGTAAACACCTTAATCGCATTATTACCACACTGACCAAAATGCGCAAATGTGTATTGCATTTGCTGTAAGTAGTTTAAAACAGTGGCCAGTAACATGCATACTGTAACATTCATCATGTTGGTAAAAAATAACCACACTTCTTAGTGAATAATCAGAAAAAAAATTGCATGTAAACAGGAGTGAAGAGCTTTGTTCATGCCATGTAAACATCTTACTGCGATTAAGTCCTTACGCTGATTATTGGAAATATTCGCATTATTGATGCACATTGTGAACGTAGTAATTGTATCCCGCCTCCCATCCAATAAATCGCTATAAGCTTTATTACTTATGGATATGATGTGAAAAAGTTTCAGCTTACCAATCTTATTAGGAGATTTAAACAAATACCGTTTTGTCGCTCTTTAATATGGCATGACAGATTGCTGTAGCGCCTCAGTTCAAGCGGCACGTGAACCGATCATCTCTTCCTCTTTACTACTAGTTACAGCATGAAATAAACGTGAACGAACACCAGAGGAATGTTGAAAGATACAGTACAACTTATCGAAATCTGTATCATGTCTCATAATCGCTCAATCAACGTTTCAAACGTGGAAAGACGTCAATAAAACAGATTGAGAACAATATTTCACGTAATGTTACATTTCCCTAATAAAAGCCATTCATGACTCGTTAGTCAGCTAGAAAAATTAACTCTACAGAGGAGCATTATGCTAATTATATGCACCATTGCATATCCATTGTATTTTTACTTAACCTGTTCTTTGATATTTAATGTATGTTGGAATAAATCAGTCATGATTTTATGACAGCCACCATTTAAATGTCTATATTTAAAAAAATAACATAATTATGTCATTAAGATGCATTATAAAAAAACTCCTTATGTGTAATTAACTGATTTGTATAGGCTACTTATATTTTAAATTTTAACCTTTAATATTATAGTGATGTACCAACTGGGGTTTCCTGTATAGTTTACAGCATAAGTTGAAGAAAATTTGCCATGTACTGTACATGATAGGACCCAATTAATCAATATTAAATTGAACTGAAACCAAATCATGAAATTAAAGTCAATGCCCAGCCTTAACATTATATATATATATATATTAGGGGTGTAACGGTTCACACAATTCACGGTTCGATACGATACACTTGTGTCACGGTTCGGTACGTTTTCGATACAGCAAAAAGAAAGAAATGCCAGAGAAATTTCCTTGATTAAATTTTTTTATTACATTTTTATTAAAACTAACATCATAAAGTATGATATTTTTTTACTTTGAGCAATGATGGAGCTATACTTGACTTTTCTTAGGAGCATATAAAACAAAACAGCTCCTTGCTCCTTGGACAAAATGAAATGTAATATTGTAGTAGTTATAAACAAAGGTTTATTTTAGTTCAGATTAACATTTGAGGGCAGCAATTGTATTCATAATGTCGAAATTAAACCGACGTAATGTTACTTGAAAGCATTGTAGCCTACTATTCCTGCCAAACTCCCATGGTTACAGTTAGTAGTGTTACTACAGTACATCCATGGTGAATGTTGCTGATCTGTGGACAGTGGATAGTTCATTCATGGCACAATTTTTCTTCCTGGTTTCCACGTCAGCGCTGTTTGATCCGTTAATAACGCAGAAATGTGAATGTTTCTCACTAGATCTCGCAGCGATGTTTTTACTTCAGTGGCGAATTCAAATGTTTTCTTTACTGGATTTGGCTGTGTAGTAACAGTGCTGATGATTAAGATCGGCTCGTGCTGCTCTGGTCCAAACAGATAAACGGTCCGTCAACCACACAATAACGAGTGGCCCAGTTTCGTTCCGCTTACATTACATTTGCCATTTGATGTTGGGCAATGTTGTGGTCACGCCAGCGTCTCTTACATTATGAGTGCGCTTGCCACGTGCAACGCGGCTACATTTGAAATAACGAAATTTTGGTCGACAGGAAAAATGGTCCAACGAACCGTTCGGTTTAAAAATGCGTACCGAAAACCGAACAGTTCAATACAAATACGTGTATTGTTACACCCCAAATATATATAATATATATATATACATTAGGGGTAGGGGGAAAAATCGATTCTTAGATGCATCGCGATGCGGACGTGGACGATTCTGAATCGATTCGCAAATGTCAAAAATCGATTTTCAAAAAAAAAAAATATATATATTTATAATAACGTAATATATTGACGGAACTCTGAAGCGCGGAAGTGCAGTGCCCGGACCGTCTGTGTTGTGCACATAACAGAGACGCGATGACTGAGCGCGATATCCAAACACCCTCCTCGTTAAAAGCTGACGTGTGGAAATATTTTGGCTTCTGTGAAGTTGAAGGGGGGAAAGGAGCTGGACAAGAGCCACACTATTTGTAAGCTTTGTGGAATAAAACTAAAATATTTCGGAAAACACGACAAATATGAGAAAAGCCATATGAGACGTTTCATATGGCCACCAAAGCACATTTTTGTCCCACCAAAGCCTTTTTTGATCGGTGAGTGATGTAGAAAAAAATGACTGCTGCGCTTGACAGCCGCGAGCAGAGAGAGAGAGAGAGAGAGAGCCCCGGCCGCGCGCGTGCACTCTCACGTCTTCAAACAACACGAGCGCTGTCTTGGTCTCTCTCTCCCTCGCGCATATCAAAATCAATTGACACGATAGTAAAAGGTCGGACGGAAGACTGCAGTTTCACGTCGAGCATTTGGAGATTTTTAGAGATTAGAGACTCTAGGCCTACACTCAAAGAACAACATATCACTAAATTATAAAGGCCTGTCTAGTTAGTGTGTTGCATTTTGTCACTGTGTTCTACAGTACAGTATATAAGCTGAAGCTACAGTAAGCTGTTCAAAAATGTTCATTTTGTCTTCTTAATGATTAAATTGGACAATTTTCTTCTAGAAAGACAAGGTGTTCAGGTGGAGAAAAAACTTTTTCTTTACCTTGACATGTTTCGACTGCAACCTGCAGTCTTCCTCCACCTGAACAACACCTTGTCTTTCTAGAAGAAAATTGTCCAATTTCTACAGTATGTTTGTTCTGATCTACTTCCTAAAGGAAATAAGCCTTTCATTTATTTGTTATTGTTTAGTTCAACTTGATGAGTCACAACACAATGTGATGTATTCATGTTCTACAGAACATAAGCTACATACACGACACAGAAAGTGCTTTGAGTTGTTGTTACTCAATAAAAGAGTTAAGTAATTCAGCAGCTGACTTTTTTTTAATACTGCAATCCCTTTGTAGTGTATTTTCATTTACTGTTGTGAAATGGAAAATCAATAATCACTAACCGAGAATCGTTAATCGAAAATCGACTGTAATCGAATCGGGACTTCAATAATCGTAATCGAATCGGGAAATCAGACAGATTAACCACCCCTAATATACATACAGTAATATATATATATATATATATATATATAAACATAACAGTGTCTTTAATGTTTCTGGGCTCTTACTTGCCACAGGTGAAGCACACTTTCACTGGCAGAGGGACCAGCCCACTGGGATCCAGCTCATGTTGTGGCCTTTTTACATTCTTGCCTATTGCCTCCTCTTTCCTTCTGCGCTTACTGCTGCCTGTAGATACACACACACATACACTAAGAGTTATTCAATGCACACTTTAACAACACATCGCACAAAAGTGTGGGCGAGTCTCACCTGGCAGTGAAGTGGTGCACGTAAGCTCAGTGGGCAGCTGGAACTGCGTGGGGTTTCTCTCCATGGCCGCAGCGATCAGCAGCTGAAAAGGTTTCTTCAGGCGAAGCGTGGTGCTCTCGGACTCAGAGCAGTGCACTTCCTCTTCAACATCCATCAGGTCCTCGTCCACGTCATTCTGTTCCGATGGTGTGGGCGTGTCAGTGGACGCATTGGAAGTGGGCGTTCCAGGACGGCTACTCGTGCGTCGCTCGAGAAGACGGACCTGTGCGACAGCGAGTCTCAGGCCTCCTGACGCAGCAGAGGGCAGTCCGTCCAGACGCAGCGTTCCCAGCTCCAGCTCCGCCGCAGGGGAGGACGACCGCTTGGACAGCTGCCGCTCTAGCGCCCCGTTCACCTGCTCTGCCTTCTGCTCACGCTTCTAGAGAACCACAAAATTATACTGTATTGCTCCGTCCTAAAACTAGTAAGCAAGGTTGCTAAGGCAACAGTTAACATGCTGTTAAGGATACTTTTCTTATGATTAACATTTATCTAGCCTTGTCTGCCATCTGCTCAAAGCAATACACTCTGGGATTATATCCTTTGTGAAGGCGGCATGCATTTTGTGTCATCCTCAAATTATTATATGTTCAGGTTTTTTCCTGCACTGAAAATATTTTGCCAGCTGCCAAAATGAATCTTTGTTCCACCAAAGATCTCTAACTCCACAAGTTTCTGGATTGACAACCGTATTTAAATGTGCGATTGAATTCGATTGACAGTGATAACCTCGGCAATGGACGGAACAATATCTGGTACTGTATGCCAAATGATCTTGAGATGTAAATGCAAAAATCAGACCTGCCATTTCTTCTATGTAATGCGTTACTTTGTTGTTAATTTTATTACTTACTTTTTTTTAAATGGGTCACTCAATAAATATATAATAGTTCTAAGCACTTTGTTTTATGATCTGTCCTGATAGTGATTATTTTTTATATCATGAATAAATAGGATAAGTTATTACAAACTGCTCCTTGGCATTAATTTGGGATTTATTGTCAGTACTGGGCTCACAGTTCACGTGTCTAAGGTACTTTGTATGGTGTGTAGATGCCCCTGTTTGTCCGCCACCACCAAAGACCATTTTCAGGAAAAACTGCTAAATGTTCATAGACAAAGCAAGGGCAAATATGACTGCACCAACCTTCTTGCGCACACTGCAGCGATGACACATCCAGTCACCAGGGGGCAGCATCTCTCTGCTCAAAGGCGGATTACTGTAAAGAATGACATTTCTTTCACAAATCTTGATGTGTTCAAAAACACAATACTGCTTTTTAAGACATTTAAAAATTTCTGTAAACTCTTTGCGGTAATAAAAAAAGCTGAATTTTTGTATGAAAAATATAGTGACAGTTCACAGGTTTTATTCACTGTGCTAGATGCAAAGAAAACCACATCGCTGCAATCACACTGAAACTATTGGTTTCACAAATCTACAGGTTAAAATAGCCTGAACCACAAGGACTCACTGTAAGATTTAGGTTACATGGCACAAATGATGCAATGTTACTGACATGCCACAACTATGTCAATACAATTCTTTTTTTCTCCTCTCTTTGACATACAGAGTAGACTAGTTCTAGGTTACATCAGCTAAGAGAAAGACTGGATCGAATGAATGTGAAACAACCACACAAATCAGGACAGAGTTGTTGAATAATACATTTACTTCCCCTCAGTGATAAGCACAGGACAATAGCAGTAAAAACTAAGCGTTTGCTTAATAGGACATGGAAGAAAGACAATTATTAAACGGCTACCAAATAAAATGAGGCAGGGGTGATTTCCCTTCAAACAAAACTTACATGATAAGAAATTAACTTAAGACACAGCTGTGGCTTCAGAATGAGAGAATTGTAATCTTACACATGAGATGTAGACGAGGACAACTAAACCTGTAGGCATCAATAACTTTCTCGTTCTTAGGGTAAATGTGCATTAATACTTTAGCTCAAGCTCAGGCTGTCAGTGAACAAAAGACTTCTAAATGCCCTTTTTTGGAAGAGGAAGTGGTGATGTGCATAAAACAATATGTAAAGATTATGCTACAGAGATAAGCTTCAGCATGCTGAACTGCCAAACTGACTGTAGTTAGACTGTAGACTATAATTAATATATAAAAAAGAGAGATGCGTGGAACCACTACAACAAATACAGTAGTCAACATTTGAAGTGGATGAAAAAAGTTAATCAAACTTGTCCTAAGACAAGAACGGGTGTTAAAAATTCATGTATAACTTTGATGAAAGGTTTTGATCCACTTCAAATATTGACTACTGTATAAGAGAAATTATAGCTTTAATTGAGCAAGGATCAAAAGTGACAGTAGACATTTGTTTCCACGAAAATATTAAGCACTAAGCAGCACAACATTAATAATATGAAACCTTTCTTGAGCACCAATTCAGGATCATGTGACACTGAAGACTAGAGTAATGATGCTTTGCAATCACAGGAATGAATTACACCTTCAAATATTTAGGAAGTTAGTAGAAATTAACATTTCACAATATTGCTGTTTTTATAAAAATCCTCAAACCTTAGAACGGTCATGTTTTTTTATTTAATGTTATGTTGACAACTATAAATTCATAAACACTGTCTTTTACTAGAAAAATATGGTATATAGGCTAGTGCAAACCATCCCTTTCCACTCTAACTAGTGCTTCCAACACAACCACAAGTCACCCTCTTAAATCCAAATCAGCCAACCAGACAAATAACTTTGTGAAATTTAAAAATCAGCAGTGTAAACAGACATGTACATTAACACATTCTTATCGGTGTTTATCCCTGACACTATATGAAATCACATTGCAAACATACCAGCACTGCAGGTGAAAGGCAGCCGGACAGTGATCGCAGCAGAGCAGATCTCCTCCCTCACGGCAGCTGTCACAGGTGTCATGGTTTGTGGCTCGGCCTCCTCTTCTGGTCTCCCTCTCTGGTTTGCGTCTCTTCTCTCCATCCTCGGAGCGTGGAGGTGCGAGCAGCTGTTGAATTTGCTGGAACAGATTGGCAAATATAATTGAAGCATGCATGTGGTGTTACACAAAGATCTCCTGAAATGTTTTAAGTGACAGACGTCAGTGGAGAGAAAGTCTGTTCACACATTAAACGGGTGTTTCCAACCTTACCAGTGAAAGGTTTTGGATATCATCCGAATCTGATTGCAGATTTTGGAGTAAAATCAGGTGTTAGTTTTTATTCAAACATCCAGAGTGTGCAGTCCTGGACCACTGGGTTCAACTACGAGAAGGTCATTAAACTTTTTTCCATGTCAAATCAGATCTGGTCACGTGAGCTCACTAATGAAAACTGTTCGGTTGCTGTATAGCCAAGTTTTGTTCACGTTTCTGCAACAGGCCCAGCTCTACATAAACTCACCAAAGCGACTCACGTCCATTCTGTAACTTACTGTCATTCGGATTCATTTAATCCATATGCCTGTATTATAACTCGCATAAGGCAGTGATTTGTGGCACAGCTGAAGGGCAGACAGGCTTACCTCCATTAGGCCCCCAGACGTGTCCAAATCGTACAGAATCTTCGGGGTCTCCATTTTGTCCCACATTCACACTGCTGAAATGTAGCATGAACACACAACCCGACAACAGTTCTCGCTTTCTCCAAATCCAGTCGGGTTTATCTGCTGTCCTTAAGCCGTCCTGGAGAAATTAAACTGGTCACTGGTCGATAATCTAACAAGATAGCGGATTGGCTGCTCCGATGTTCGGCTAGCTAGCAGCTATCAACAAACAAAAGCACACAGGTCGCCGGAGGTCTGGTGCTAAACGAGAGCTGATGAATTGCTCAAACTCTCATTTAAGAGCAAATATCGTTCATATTTTGAATGAAATGTTGCTGTCTGGTGCAGTATTGAAAGTTTCATGTGGGATGTAAAGGCCTAGCTCGCTAGCCTAGCAGCATCCTCTGCTTCAGCAGCAGCCGCCTGCAAAGATGCCTGTAGAAATCCACAGCTGTCTGTCCCCATCGCATACTGACTAGAAAAGCGCTCTCTTTCGCAAAGCAAATCTGCTGGATTGATTGTCGGCGGTTAGGTCCTTATGTGCAGAAACACTGGCGGATGGTGTTCAGATGACAGCAGTGAAGAGCAGAGGTGTTGTTATGAAAAGCCATTGCTAGTAGCTATTTGCTAACTGGCTGGCGCTGCCCTCCTCTGACTCGACTCAAGCGGGGTTGGAATGAAGTCTGCGCATGCGTACTGAGACGAAGAGAGAAAGTGCTCCTCCTAGCGTTAGCCTGGCAGAATAACTCTCAGCCTGCAGGCCATGTTTTCTCTCAAGCACGGAGGAAATATCATACACAAAAGGAAATATTCCCCATGAATGGGTACAAAATTGTTCGTGAAGAACAAATCAAACAGCCCAATCCAATGGAATATCATTTTTTAATTGATGATATGCTCCGACAATGTTGTGGTAAATAATTACAGTACAGTACAATAAATTAAAAATATATTTTGAATCAAGATAATCCCAAACAGACATGTTTCTTGCAGCAATCAAGAAGCATCTTAAGATTTCTTCCATGAGTGCGTGACTAAATTCCTGCAATGCACAAAAAAAAAAAAAAACCATTAAAAACAAATTATTCTTCCACTGTTTTTCAGTTCTCTGGACTATCTTGTACAGCACTTCTCATATTACTGAACTGCTCATGTTCTTCCTCACTCATAAGTTGCTTTGGATAATTAAATAAATATGAATGTAATGCATGTAATATTTTCATATTGAAAAATGCACTTGAGTTCCTTGAATTCCATTAAATGTTGTTTCTTATGTTCCCAAAACACTGTTGTTCAATTGGAGACAGTGACACACTGAAATGTACACACACAATGCAAGTCTGTCATGTGACCAGTTGTGATGTTTTTGGCAGCTTTTGCTAATTACAGTGAAATGACAATATTTCAATCAATACGGACAACATTCAAATGGAGACCAAGTACATAACTCTTTTAGATGATACATATAATTGATATTAACAGACAGTGTGAAATGATGAACAAAGATCTATTCTATAATAGATAAACCTCATATATACATACATTTAAGCCATATCTAATACAAATTGTATGTACATTCTTAGATATTTATATATTAAGTGTGCCTGCTGAAAGAGTACAGTCAATTGTTATTTTGTTCCATATGTATAAAAACATACAAAAATAAACGGAAATCAAAAAATCAGAGCCAATTAATCAGTAAAGGAGGGATGATTTACAAGAACTTCCTGTACATAGATTTTTACTTTTGGCTTACTCAACCAACGCTGGGATTTAGCGCAGAGAGCACTTCAACAGCAGGCTTTTGTTTGACACTGTACACACAGGCGAGTCATAATTAAGGTTAGCGTAAATGCTTAAGACCACCCCAATGAAACCCACTTCACATCACTGGATACAGATGTACCAGTTTCCATGCAAAACACTACACTTTATAAAACTGCCAGATGTTATTTGAAGGTAGTGGAAAATGAAAATAATTATTTAAAAAAAGATTTAACTGTAAACCATGCATAGGTTTAATTGTTCAATAATTGCCGTGTGTTACACAATTGTTTTAAAGAGTGTCCCCACACTCCCCCCTGGATGATATTCATATTTGAAATGCTATGATTACCATTACATTTATGGAAAATTTTATCTGGATAAGATCTCCAGATACTACTACCATTCAAAAGTTTGGAGTCGGTAAGATTTTTTTTAAAAAGAAGAAGAAATTAATACTTTGATTCTGTAAGGATTAATTTGATTGATTTAAAAAGTGTCAGTAAAGACTTTTACATTGTTCTTTTGAACTCTCTATTCATCAACGAATCCTGAAAAAAATATGTACGACGGGTTCCACAAAAATATGAAGCAGCACAACTATTTTCAACATTGATAATAATAAGAAATGTTTCTTGAACAGCAAATCAGCATATTACAATGATTTCTGGATTATGTGACACTGAAGACTGGAGTAATGATGCTGAAAATTCAGATTTGCCATCATAGGAATAAATTATATATTTTTAAATATAATAAAATAAATTAAAATTGTACTAATATTTCACATTATTACAGTTTTTACTGTACATTTCATAAAATAAATTCAGCCTTGGTGAGCATAAGACATTTCTTTCAAAACCACAATAAATCGCATCGACCCCAAACTATTGAACTATGGAAGCTTATATATGACTGAAAATGAAAAGGCCATTGTGTCTTTTTTCATAATTGCAACTGTATATCTTGCAATTACTTTATATTTCAATGTGAATTTCTATCATTATTTACTATATTTCACAACTGCAACTATTTCTCGTACTTGTGATTTTCTTTAATCTCGCAATGTGATTTTACATTATACATAATATGTATTCCATAAAATTTTTGTTTTTGGAGGGGGTGGGGGTGGGTTGTGAGTGCAAAAGTGCGACAATTAAAAAACTTAAATAAATAAATCTGTTTAGAGAGACATCAGTCACCTAAATAACATGGTTTCCCCTATTGTCAGTCATTCTTTTGAATTCATTAATTCATTTGGCTCAATTACGGGTAAAAACTGTACAAGCAATTCTGCCAGGACAATGCTATTGAAGCTCTACAAAAATAATATCATGTTGTCCACACTCTTCGCTTGTGGAAGTCCTCAGAAGCAAGGTGATATTTACAGCAGATGAGAAATGATGAGAAGGTAGGTCCAGGTGAGAATAAGAGCAGAGTTGGCTACACAAGATGTGAGAGGAACTGAGAAGATCTTCCACAAGGCGGAGAAAGGCTTGCGGTCCTCCATGCTAAAACGAGCTTTGTTTTATTTAAATGGAGACTTCGTATTCTCTCGTGTCCTGTGGACCAAACAAACAAACACATCAAATATAATATAAACATTCATGTATTTACTGTATATATATATATATATATATATATATATATATATATATATATATATATAATTTCATTTTGTGAGGGGTGGGAATATGTAAACCAAATGCTGGCTGCAAACACAACATGAGAGAGATGCTAAAGATGGAGACGCCCTACACCAGTGGTTCAAACCTTCTCAGCCTCGTCCATGTGATGCTATTCCCTTGATCAACTCTCCTTACAGGCTCTTTCTTTACAACAGAATCCTAGAGAGTACCTCTGGTGGCTGCTTTGAATCATAGGTCTCTGTACAAATCAAAAATACCATGCAACTTAAGCATGAAAAGGACTTAAAAATAATAATCAGTAATGGAAGCATGATGGAAGTTGGAGGACAAACTATTGGGCAATGTGTGATTTAGGAAGATGTTGTCTAACTAATAAACACAAAATAGTCGATTATCAAATGAGAATTAAAAAGCCTTTAGATGTTTATGGGGGGGCATGCAAAGTCAATAACGCATATGAAATAAAAATCTTTAAAATGCTGAAATTAAATATCCAAAACACAATATTAACTAGCTCTACTTTTTGTAAACACAGTCTTAAAGGATTAGTTCACCTCAAAATGAAAAAAATTCCTGATAATTTACTCACCCCAATGCCATCCAGTTTTCCTGTAGCTCAAACAGTGAGTAGAGCGTTGGCGCTTCCAATGCCAAGGTCATGGGTTCGATTCCCAGGGAAAGCAAGAAGCATGTCTTTCTTTCTTCAGTGGAAAAGAAATTAAGTTTTTTGAGGAAAACATTTCAGGATTTTTCTCCACACAATGGACTTCAACGGTAACCAAATTGCTGAAGTCCAAATCAATGCAGTTTCAAAGGGTTTTGAAGAGTTTCAAAGGGCTCTGCACGATCCCAGCTGAGGAATAGGGTCTTTTCTAGTGATCAGTCATTTTCTAAAAAAAAATTAAAATTTATATACTTTTTAACCACAATCTTGTGCTGGCGATGCACCAGGCATTACGTAATCAAGTTGGAAAGGTCACGCTGGACGTAGATGGAAGTACCGCCCCATTGTTTTAAACATTCAGGATACGCACACGAAAGGACCATTTTAAACAATAAACGGACACAACGACATAAATATGTCATTCAACATACAATAAAATGTGAACGATCCTCCTCCTCCACGCTTGTAAACAACGGGGCGGTACTTCAGTCTACGTCCAGCGTGACCTTTCCAACGTGATTACGTAATGCCTGGCAGACCAGCACAAGATGAACAATTGTGGTTAAAAAGTAAATGCATTTTAATTTTTTTTAGAAAATGACTGATCGTTTCGCTAGATAAGACCCTATTCCTCAGCTGGGATCGTGAAGAGCCCTTTGAAGCTCTTCAAAGCCCTTTGAAACTGCATTGATTTGGACTTCAACAGTTTGGTTACCGTTGAAGTCCATTGTGTGAACTGTGGAGAAAAATCCTGAAATGTTTTCCTAAAAAAACGTAAATTCTTTTCCACTGAAGAAAGAAAGACATGAACATCTTGGATGCCATTGGGGTGAGTAAATTATCAGGAAGTTTTCATTTTGAGGTGACCTAATCCTTTAAGTAAACCCAGACTTGTCATTAGACAGTCATGTCTCTTCATACCCAAGAGAGGTGCTTGTGATCCCCCGTTTGCATCATCTTTACTTCCTGACATGCATAATGCGAGAACACGACTTCAGGCCATCAGTGCAAGAGGAACCAGCACACACACATACACACAAACTTATCCGTCCAGCCACAACACTTACATACAGTCAAACGCAGACGTGGCCCTGGGGGCCTGAAACTGTTATTGAGCGGTTTAGTATATGCAGGCAGTGCTGCTGGGACTGTGTTATGAGTGCTACAGCATACAGAGAGAGATCTGGAGGGACACTTGCACAGCATAATAAGAGGTGTGAATAACCTGCAGTCTGTAACACATGCTACACGCAGCAGGCTGGGGAAAAGGTCCATATATCAGTGTAAAAGTATTGACAGTCAAATTCTCACCTCATTGTTCTTCGGGGATGCAGATGCAGAGAGAGAAGAGAAAGTGCAAATGTAAGTGACTGAGCAAGTTTATGTAGGTCAAAAAGCTGCTGATTTATTTTTCTCTGCATGAAAGTGATAGTTCACCCCCCAAAAATAATGATTCTGTCATAATTTACTCACTTTCATGTCATTCTAAACCTGTGTGACTTTCTTTTTTCCCTTTCCCAGAAGCTTTTTTTCCCATACTTATATGGACTTCTGCATACTCAAACTGCCAAATCTCACTGGTTGTTGATTTTCACAACTAA